GGTTCTTGTGAGGATCTGCACTCGCCTCCCAAGTATCCCTAGGCTTGAGAGCATTCTCTTGACTAGATCCCATGCCTGAGGGGACCTTCTCATCCTCCTTCCAACCTTCCTGAATCTGGCTACATTTGTCTCTTGTGGCTAGCTGGAGTAGCCCATCAGGACAGGCCACAAAATAGGAATTGTTTACGTTCACTGATTCTGCATTCAAGTTACATGCTTTGATATTTGCATTTAAAATGGTGTTCTATAATATATAGATGAATGGTAAAAGCTTGCAAATGATTTAAATTAAAAAAATTTTTTACAGAAAACATTGAGTAATCAATTTAAAACTGAGACAAGTTGAAAGGGAGACTTGCAGGGAAAAGGAAGAAGTTTTGTATATACCTTTAAAGCACTTTGAATAAGGGACCTCACATTTTCATCTTGTCCTGGGGCCGACAAATTATGTCACTGGCCCTGAGTACAGATCAGCAGTGACAAATTCACAAGTCTTGAAGGATTTGTCTAGAATTCTAGATTCACAGTTTTTTTTCCCCCTTAGCATTTAAAATTTTTTGGGGGTGGGGGTGCGTCGCGTGCCTGTGAGATATTAGTTTCCTGACCAGAGATTGTACAAGAAACTCAGGTTCAATCTCTGTGTCAGAAAGATCCCCTGGAGTAGGAAATGGCAACCCATTCCAGTATTCTTGCCTAGAAAATTCCATGGACAGAGGAGCTGGCATGCTGCAGTCCGTGGGGTCGCAGAAGAGTCAGACACGACTGAGCAACTGAGCACGCAGGACAGGACCGGACCAGGGACTGAGCCCAGGCTGCGGCAGTGAAGTCGGCAAGTCCTAACCTCTGGACTTCTGTGAAAGTCCCTAAATATTTTCCATTGTTTTCTTTAAAAAAAATTTTTTTTAAAATTTATCTGTTTGGCTGCACCAGGTCTTAGTTGCGGCATGCAGGATCTTCGATCTTCCTTGTGGCATGCAGGATCTTTAGATGAAGCATGTGAACTCTTAGTCATAGTATGTGGGATCTAGTTCCTTGACCATGGATCAAACCAAGCCCCCCTGCATTGGGAGTTTGGAGTCTTAGCCACTGGACTTACCAGGGAAATCCCTCCATTGTTTTCTGATACACCCTGTTGTTCCTGTGTGTAAGATATATCCTTTCCTTTGGCTCTTAAGAATTTTCTATCATCAGTTTTCAGCAGCTTGATTATGGTTTGCCTTAGTAGGGCGTTCCTTATATTTATCCTGTTGGCACTTTTTGAGCCTCTTGGCTCTATGGGATAAGAGTGTTCATCAAATTTAGAAAAATTTCAGCTGTTATTTCTTGAAATATTTGTCCCCTGACTCCCACCCCCTCATTTCTAGTAGACTTTTTTTTAACCTTTCCTGCTCTCTGTGCTTCAGTTTTTGTTTTAGTTTTTGAGTTTCTATTACTACTTACTCAACTTCACTGGTCATTTCCTCTATAGTATATAAATCTGCTGTTCAAATAACCCAGCAAACTTTTCATTTCAGATGAAGTGTTTTTAAGCTTCAGAAGTTAATCTCTGTTTTCTTTTTTATATCTTCCATTTCTCTACTCATTATGTTCATATTTTTCTTTAACTTTATGAATATATTTAAAATATTTGACTTAAAACCTTTCTCTGCCAACTCTATCATGTCTGTCACTTTTGGTTCTGTTCCTATTAACTGATTTTTCTCCTGATTATGAGTCTCATTTTCACGTTTCTTTACATGTTTAGTAATTTTGATTGGATGCTGGATATTGTAAATGTTACATTGCAGCATGTCTAGATTTTGGTGTCGTGTAAAAATTATTGACTTTTGTTTATGGGGGTATTTAAATTACTTCTGAGTCAACTTGATCCTTTTAAGGCTTTTTTAAAGCTTTTCTGTGGTGGCTGCAAAGCATCCTTCACTCTAGGGTTGATGTAGTCCATCTGGGAAGCTATGACCTCCTACTGTCTCTACTGAATTACTGGCTATTTGACAAGGCCTCCCTCGTGTAGATCATTGGAAGTTGAACATTGCCCAGACCTTTGTTAACTCTGGGTAGTAGTCAGCTTACTGGGTGATTAGCTGTTCTTTCCCAGTAATTTGTTGTCCAGCCTTGTGCAGTGTTACCCTGCACATTACCCTGTACATATTCAGCCCACGACTCAAGTAGATCCTCTAGATTTCTGGAGCTTTTCCTCTGTGCTACTCCCTCCTCTCTGATACTGTACCCTGAAGGTTCCGTTTGCCTCTGCGCCTCCACACGCTGGTCTCTTTTTCCTTGGTTGGGCATGATTACCATGTTCTATGCTGTTTTTTGAAAAGAACCTCGAAGGTGAAAACTGGGCCATTGTGTCCACTTCATTTGTTTTTCTTTTTCAAGAATCAGAGTTCTTTGCTGTTATCCAATATTTGAAAGCATTTATTTATTGACCAGTTTTATTGTTATCTATGTTGAGAAGGCAAGTCTAGTCCAATTATTATGTCATACCAAAAGTGGGAGTCTTCTTGGTCCCTTTCATCAATGTTTCTGATTGAGGTAAAATTCACATAACAAAAAATTAACCATTTAAAAATATACTCTTAGGGACTTCCCTGCCAGTCCAGTAGTCAAGATTCCACACTCCCGATGCAGGGAGCACTGCTTTGAACCCTGATTGGGGAACTAATATCCTGCATACCACCTAGTGTAGCCAAAAATAAAAGTATGCCCTTTTATCAATTTTAAAATCAACTTTGAGAATGTAAAGAAACTGCTTGAAATGCAGGAGACCTGAGTTTGATCCCTTGGTCAGGAAGATCCCCTGGAGAAGGGAATAAGCTACCCACTCCAGTATTCTTGCCTGGAGAATTCCATGGCCAGAGGAGCCTGGCGGGCTACAGTTGCAGGCTAGGAGAGCCACGGGAGAGGAAGGGGTGGGTAGCAAAGCAACTCAGTTTAATTAGGCTAAAAAGGACCATCAGATGTGAGATGCCTGTACGGAAAAAACGGCAACTCTTGGTTTGGTGATTCTTATTTTTTGGATAGGACAAAATCACAGCTTATATATAAGATTAGCAAGTCACATTCAAAAAAGTTTAATTTGGCAAAAATTAGAGCTTGCATTGATGTATAAAGATAGATTCTCTATAATATCAATGAAGGCATCAATCTAATTAGAATGCATTAAAAATTTTTGGCTTTGAAATAGTTTGTCAATTTTAAAAAGTTGCCATGTATTAATACATACATTTAGGAGAAAGTAGTATTTCTCCGCACGCTGCCTACCAATTAATACATTAGGAGTTCCATGGTGCTATGCTGCTCTGTTGCCCCTGAAACACCATGAACACACATCTCCTCTGGGTCTTCCCAGTGCACCAGGCCCGAGCACTTGTCTCATGCACCCAACCTGGGCTGGTGATCTGTTTCACCCTAGATAATATACATGGTTCAATGCTGTGCACAACAGCTTTTATATTTAGGTGCTATGTTTTGGGTTTTTTTTCACTCATGTGAGTTTAATTTCTTAAGATTTTTAAACATCTTTTTCTTTGCATCAGACCCTAATCAAAGTTTACTTGCTAGCAGAGTTGGTTTTTCTACAAACTTGAAGAAATAGTTTAAATTGATAGAAGTCCTGATTAGCAGTTGCTCTGCCTACAATAAATTGTGTATGTGTGTGTCATATATGTATCGGTTTGGTCAGGGACACTGACAGAGCTGGGCCAAGACTTTTTCCTGCCTGTTAATCAAGGCCACACAGACAAAGCTCAAGGAAGGATGACCCATGCCTCAGGAAGTATTGAATCAGTTGCTATTTTTAACCAGTATACAGTAGAACTTGAGACCAGATCCTTACTCAGTTACTAGGAAAAGTTCTCTGCCAAACTTTACATTTGAGGAAACAGTTAATGGGCCTAAATGAGCGAAGCCTCTGCATGAAAGGGAGGGATGTGACAGTGGCTGTAAGTATTTTTGCTGATATGGGTCAAGGATGTGGTGGCAGAGATGTGGAAAGTTCAGTTAGTGATGAAATAAGTAATTACATTTCAAAGTAACTGGTAGTTGATGGCACCTTGTATTGTCTTTAGCTCTGTGTATATGGAATTCTTCCCTGGTGGTAAAGAACCTGCCTGCCAATGCAAGAGATGTGGGTTTGAATCCTGGGTCAGAAAGATCCCCTGGAGAAGGAAATGGCAATCCACTCCAGTCTTCTTGCCTGGGAAATTCTATGGACAGAGGAGCCTGGCGGGATGCAGTCTGTGGGGTGGCAGAGTTGGACATGACTTAGCAACTAAAAAACAAAACAATATGAAATTCTGGGCTGCTAATAGCAAGGTTGAAATAAGGGTATGTGATGAACTAATATTATCTGTCAACATAGGACTAGAAAAGGAAATCAGCTATTGGTGTGTTTCCAGACTAATTGACTCTTCCTCTGAAATTATACATAAACTATTGGTATTTGAGATGTATTTCTGATAGTACTCTGTTGCTCCTGTTTCATTAAGTGAAAGTTTCATAAATAATTGATTTATGGGGATTTTCCTGGTGGTCTTGTGGTTAAAAATTCAATGCAGGGGATGCAAGTTCAATCTCTGGTCAGGGAACTAAGGTCCCACATACCACAGGGCAGCTAAGCCTTCATGACCCAATATGCAGCCAAATCAATCAGTCAATAAATATTAAAGTTTCTTTTAAAAAAAGAATTGATTTATTACAAAATAATGTTGTATACTACTATTATAATCTCTTATAAAACCTCATTCTATTTAATATTAGGAAGTATGCAGAACATGAAAGCAGGTAGTTTGAGAAATACCATAAATAATATTTTCTCTGTAATATTATGCCACTATCTTAGGAATGCCTTAATGAAGTTGAATTACTTAATGGATGACAGGTACATCTTTACATATGAAATATAAGTGAGTTATTTAGGGATAGGTGGGCAGTGTTTTAGTGGAATTTAAATTAGGAAATTATAAAACTGTGTTAACATATTCATCTCATTTTAATAGGATTATTCAAAATAGAGCTGTAGCCATTTTCAACAAGGATCGATGATAAGAATTTTTCTTTTTAAAAAAAGATTTTCAAGTTAAAGATGAAAGGAAAATACTGGAATGTTTTGGATTCTAACTCCTGAGATAATGAATATAGTTTTTCACAGTGACTTCTGATGGAACCTTAGTAAAATTCATTGTTTGTCATGCACCCAACTGCGAACATGGATGTTGGCTTTTCTCGTTCTGCTGTTCATACACTGTCAAGAAGCCACTGCAAAAACATCAAGCAAAAAATTTCCCAGTGGGAAGGAAGAGCTAATGGTATATCTAACCCAGATAAGTGGCATCCAAAGGACTTTGGAGTGAGATATAATAACTGTAATCAAGAGATTCTTAAGAAAACGCCTATTACTGAGGGAAAGAGCAAAAAGTTGGATGTAACCAACACTCAAAATATTGTTCAAAGTATTAATGAAGATGTCAAAAGCCACAATCAAAGTGAGGATGAAAGTGGAAAACCTGAATATGATACACGCTTATTTAAAAATGAATCAGAACCCAACTGGGTGTGTTCTCGGGTCAAACAAATTGAAAACTGGAAACAAGTTTTAGATCCAGAGACTTCATTACCTCCGGGAAATTTCTATACCTCACAAATATTGTGGAAGAAAATAGAAGCACTTTCCCCAGATAAAGTCTTAAATTTGGCTTTAGAGCATTGTGGCTCTTCAGAAAAAGAACTGAATTTCAGAGTTCTGAATAGTTCATATGGAGTAACGAAGAGCTTAGAAAACATTTACTCTGAGCCTGAGGGACAAGAATGTGGACCTTCTATAAATCCTTTGCCAAAACCTCGTAGGACATTCAGATATTTATCTGAATCTGGCGTTATGCCATATAAAGAAAGAAACTGTGACGAAAAATACTGTGAAAATAATTCTTGTGCAGAATCTTCTTTGGCCTCTTCTCAGGAACCTGAACCAAAGAAATATGGTGGAAAAATCAGAGGGAGATCTAAAAGGTATGTTTTTATTTGAAAGGTAATGATTTTCAGTATTCTCCTTTGAGAACCATTGAGCTTTTTCCTTTTCAAACCAATTTCCATTTCCATGTGTGGGTTACACCTCTAATTTGATATACAGATGTTGATTGACCCAAGGGGGAAATACCTACAAGAGTATTAGGAGTACAGGTAATATCTAAGACAATCTTCTGACACAACCATAGAAAAACTTATATTTTTTAATTAAAAATGTTTATTGAAATATAATTGACATGTAACATTATATGAGTTTCAGGTGTGCAGCATAGCAATTTGATATTCATATGTATTGTGAAATGATCACCACAATAAAGCTAGTTAATAACATAATAGTGTATATTTGAAAGTTGCTAAGAGATGTTAAGAGTTCTCATCACAAGGAAAAAAAAGTAATTACGGTGCTGAGATAGTTTAATGATCATATCAAGTAATATTCATAAAATGTATGTACCTGGAAGACAGTGGATCTACATGTTAGCCATGTTATTTCTTAAAAACTTTTTATTTTGTATTGGAGTGTAGCCGATTAACAATGTTATATTAGTTTTAGGTGGACAGCAAAGGAACTTAATACATATACATGCATCCCTTCTCCCCAAACTCCCCTCCCAGCCAGGTTGCCACATTACATTGAGCAGAGTCCCCTGTGCTATACAGTAGGTCCTTGTTGGTTATCCATTTTAATCATAGCAGTGTATACATGTCGACCCCAAGCTCCCTAACTGTTCATTTCCCTCATCCTCCCCCTGGCAACCGTAAGTTCATTCTAAGTCTATGCTTCTGTTTCTGAAAAACTTCCATTTTCTATCTTTAAAAATATATAGGGAAGCTAGTATGTTCTTCTATTTCATTTAGGGCATGCTGGCTGTAGTCTCACTTTTTATTAGAGAGTAAATTTAGTAAAGTACACAAAGAAGAACATGAATGTAATTGGCTGTGTGCATGGTAAGTTGTTGCTTCAGTCGTGTCTGATTCTTTGCAACCCATGGGCTGTAGCCAGCCAGGCTCCTCTGTCCGTGGGATTCTAGAAACAAGAATACTGGAGTGGGTTGCCATGCCTTCCTCCAAGGGATATTCCCGACCCAGGGATTGAACCCAGTCTCTTGTCTCCTGCATCAGCAGATGGGTTCTTTACCAGTGGCACCACCTGGGAAGCCCATGCAGTTGGCTAAAAACATTCAGTTTTCTCATGGTTCATATAAGGCTCCAGCCTAATTTATTATTTTTAGGTATATGATAAAAACATCTTTGTAATTTTTCACACAAGTCCTTTACTTATTAATTTTTGTCATGCCATAGTTTTAAAAGATACAACCTTAAAGTATATCTCCTTTCTTAAGGAAATCCTTTGAGTTTGAGGACATTCAGCACTTTCGAAATCGGAACTCACGGAAGATTCATGAAGAACTTGGAAGAAATTCTGGCTCAGCACTTTATTACACACAGTCTGAGGACAATATCTATGAGGATATCATATGTAGGTGTTCACAAACTGCAATTCAATTTAATGAGTATGTAGTTGGGGCAGCCCTTAAGTAGAGTGTGGTATTTTCTTTTACAATCGAGCATGTCTTGCTGTAGATTTTCCTTTTTAATATTGAAAACTTTGTTGTATAAGTTCCTTTATTCTCGAATGGATTTTACATCTAGTTTACTGGACTCTTCAGTTCAAAAGTAGACTTTTGCAGTGTGGTACCTTACGAATTCTTTTAGATTGTCTAGACGCCTGAGTGGTTTGTAAGTGTAAAGTACCACTGATTTTAAGTCCTATATCCCTAAAGCAATGTAGAGTAGAGAGCTGAACCAGTCAGTTTTTTCTTTTCCTTTTATGTGTAGTCACTTTGTTCTCATGTAATTATGTTCCTCTAAACTTTCTTATTTTCCTTTTTTTTTTTTTTCAAGATCCCACCAAAGAAAATCCATATGAAGACATTCCAGTGCAGCCTTTGCCCTTGTGGAGATCCCCTTCAGCATGGAAGCTCCCACCCCCTAAAAGTACTTTCAGAACACCCAAGGTATAACCAGAGAATTAATATAAGAAAACATTAGAATCTTATTTATGATCCCTACAAAAAAAAGTTAAAATGGTTTAGTTAGGGCCGAAACTGAGAGGCACTGAAATATGGGTTTATTGTTCTTTGTTTTGGGGGAAGCAGCACAAAACTATCTTTTAAATTTGGTTTTGGGGGGGGTTGGTTTGTTTGCTTTTTAGCACTTCAGAAAACTTGAATGTAAACACCTTTGGACAAGCCATAAACCTTTCAGTTCACTATAGTTACCACAGGTCTGTAATAGGTTTGCATCACCTGTGGCCTAAATTACCTGTCTGATTCCTGAGAGCACTCACCACCCCCAAAAGCAAAGGCTGCCTTGACCTAATGAGGACTCTGAACTGTTGTTCTCTGTAAATTCAGTTACATTGTTGTAGAAGAACTTTGGATTAGAATCCTGAGAAATTTCTTTACAGTGGAAAAGAAAGTATGGTATCCTCACTTGGTGGTGGTGGTAGTTGTGATTTAGTCACTAAGTCGTGTCCGACTCTTGTGACCCCATGGACTGTAGCCTGCCAGGCTCCTCTGTCCATGGGATTCTCCAGGCAAGAATACTGGAGTGGGTTGCCATTTCCTTCCCCAGGGGATCTTCCTGACCCAGGAATTGAACCAGGGTCTCCTACATTGCAGGCAGAATCCTCACTTGAGATGATTTTAAAGGAAAGATAAATATTTGGGAGAGGATAGCTTTGACTTTGAGAACATAGGCATTACCTAGATGATCTTACCCTTACCAATACCTTTTCTTTTTTAGCTTCCTCCCAAACCTCATTTCCTTCACCGGAAGACTATGGAACTAAAGAACTCACAAGCTTATATAAGGTCAAAGCTCACAAAGGATACTACATTGCCAGTCACGTTAACTGAATGGAAGCTTTTCCGAGCTGGAGAAGTTGCAAACAGGAAAAGGAAAAATCTTCCAAGGGTAAGAACTCCAGTATTTTCATTCTTTGACTCTTATTTCAGCATTTCCACAAATGAGAATAAATAAACTTCAGACTGAAATGAATAGCAGGTTAAAACTGACCTACTGGAATTAGGAGATTTGGAAAGCAGGCTTAAGTTTTAAGTTTTGCTCATGCAAGAAAAATGCATGAATGGCTTTTGCCAAGGTTTTTGTGTGTATGTGTGTGGATTTGTGAAATTGATTTTAGGTGAGTGAGTGAGTGAAAGTCATTCAGTCTTGTCCAACTCTTTGTGACCCCATGGACTGTAGCTGCCAGGCTCCACTGTCCATGGACTTCTCCAGGCAAGAATACTGGAGTGGGTTGCCATTCCCTTCTCCAAGGGATCTGATAACCCAGGAATCAAACCCTCCTCTCCTGCATTGCAGGCAGACTCTGTACCACATGAGCCACCAGGGAAGCCCTTCGAGGGCTTCCTCTTGCTAATCTTTGTTGTTGTTCAGTCGCTCCGTCATCTCCGACTCCGAGACCCCAGGGGCTACAGCACGCTGGGCTCCTCTGCCCTCTGCTGTCTCCTGGAGCTTGCTCACATTTGTGTCCACTGAGTCAGTGATGCTGTCTAACCATTTCATCCCCTGCTTCCCCTTCTGCTTTTGGTTTCAATCCTTCCCAGCTTTGGGGTCTTTTCCAGTGAGGTAGCTCTTCACATCAGGTGGCCAATATATTGGACCTTCGCTTTAGCATCAGTCCTTCCAAAGAATATTCAGGACTGATCTCCTTTAGGACTGACTGGTTGGATCTCCTTGCTGTCCAAGGGACTCTCAAGAGTCTTCTCCAGCACCACAGTTTTGAAACCCACTCCAGTATTCTTGCCTGGAGAATCCCCATGGACAGAGGAGCCTGGTGGGCTACAGTCCATAGGGTCGCAAAGAGTCAGACACAACTGAGCGACCAAGCACAGCACACAGCACTCTGCATATAAGTTAAATAAGCAGGGTGGCAGTTTACAGTCTTTTCATGCTGTCCCAATTTTGAACCAGTTGTTCCGTGAGAGGTTGTACTGTTGCTTCTTGACCTGCATACAGGTTTCTCAGGAGACAGATAAGGTAGTCTGGTATTTCATCTCTTTAAGAATTTTCCAGTTTGTTGTGATCCACACAGTCAAAGGCTTTCGTGTAGTCAATGAAGCAGAAGTATAGATTTTTCTAGAACTCCTTTGCTTTCTCCATGATCCAATGAATGTTGGCAGTTTGATCTCTGGTTCATTCCTCTGCCTTTTCAAAACCCAGCTTGTTTATCTGGAAGTTCTCAGGTCATGTACTGCTGAAGCCTGCCTTCAAGGATTTTGAGCATAACCTTGCTAGCATGTGAAATGAATATAATTGTATGGTAGTTTGAACATTCTTCAGCACTGCCTTTCTTTGGGATTGAAATGAAAACTGACCTTTTCCAGTTACCTTAGTTCTCATTAAAATCAGCTGCCCATGTTAAGGAAGCACTCGAATCTCATGTAAAAGAGCCTTCTATTAGGCTGGCTTCAGTGATTGTCACTCATTTATGTAATAGCCAAAGTTAATTCAGCTTTGTGCCTGAGTTTATAAATTTTCAGTAATGACAAAGTTTATGCCAAATATTTCCATTGAGAGGAAGGAAAAAAGAAATTTTACTCTTGGAAATATAAATTTTTGCCAATTATACTGAAAAACTGACTTCTGTCTCAAAGGAGAAAAGGAAGTAAATGTGTAAATCATCTCGATGAGAGCCATTGAACCAAAATGAAGAAATTTGGGTTATTTGTAATACATAATATTTTTAAGAGCGACACTTTAGAAATTACATGAAAATATTTAAAAACTCTTTATGTTACTCTGTTCTTCTGTAATTCAGAATGTTCTCAGGATTACTTTGCTGAAATGAAGAAATAAAATCTTTTAAATAGTATTTCTTCCCTTAACCCCATCTCAATTAGTTATATGTATTCCTTTAGCCCATGAGTTTTGCATCTGATTTTAACTTTAAACAAAAGTCATAGCTGTTTCTTGGTTTAGTAACTGTAACTGCTGATTGGTTCATTAGGAAATACTCTTTCCACAGTTACTTTAATTCTTCTGATTCATTTCCTGCCCTTCCCTCTTTAATATGTGAAGTGTTAAAGACACAGAGTTTTTCTAAGCATTAAACTGATCTCTCTGGAAAAAAGAAAAGATTCAGGTGTTTATTCTCCCGTGTATGGTAAGGACTACTTAAAAATCAGAGGTTTAAAGAATTGCCAGGATATACATAATATATAGGGCTTCCCAGGTGGCTCAGTGATAAAGAATCTACCTGCCAATGCAGGAGACGCAGGTTTGATCCCTGGGTCGGGACAGTCCTCTGGAGGAGCAAATGGCAACCCACTCCTGTATTCTTGCCTGGAGAATCCCATGGACAGAGGAGCCTGATGGGCTGCAGTCCATGGGGTCACAAAGAGTCAACAGGGCTTAATGACTAAGCAACAACAACAATGTATATATAATGCATAACTGAATCACTTTATTATTCACTCGGAACTAACACAACATTGTAAATCAGCTATGAAAGTGAAAATCCAAAAAAAAAAAAAAAAGAAAGTGAAAATCACTCAGTTGTGTCTGACTCTTTGTGACTCCATGGACTAAACAGTCCATGGAGTTCTCCAGGCCAGAATGCTAGAGCGGGTATCCGTTCCCTTCTCCAGGGGATCTTCCCAACCCAGGAATCTAACCCAGGTCTCCCGAATTGCAGGCGGATTCTTTACCAGCTGAGCTACCAGGGAAGCCCACAACATTGTAAATCAGCTATACTTCCAAAAAAAAAAAAAAGAATTGCCAGGCATTCTGCATAGTTCTCTTTGATAAATCATGCTGGCACAACAAAGCAGCCTCCCACATGTTACAGAAATAACAGATCATGTGTTCGCAGGAGCTAGAACAAAGACACATAAGGAATTGTATTAAGATGTGGTTCTTGGAATAACATTAGCAAATATTTAGAAATTGTGGATTGTGGAGTTCGATGAGACCCAAGGAGATTTGCAGTGTTTTTGATTTCATCCTTTGGTGTTTATGTACTGTGGATCCCTTGAGTACTCAAAGCTTGCTCTTTTTCTGATTATAGGTGAGATGATTCAACTTTTCCTGTTCTAATATTTTCGCAAAGGTTTTTTGGAGAAGTAAGGAAGACAGAATGGTTTTTGGAATTGATTGTCAGGCAGGAACAAACTGTTAGCATTTCTGTTTGTAAACCTCTTTGGATTAAACCCCTGTAGGATATTCCATTCGCAATACAAATTTTGGTTTTGGACTGTCTTTGGGAACAACATTCCATGAGGAAAGCAGTTTTTGCTTATTTCCTCTTTGATGACTTCAGCTCTCCCTGGAAGGGAAATTGGTTTGAAAGTTTGAAAATAACTGATCTAGTCCATATGCCTCTTCCCCTCCCTTCCTTTCTTTCTCTGCTGTGGAAATCTGTGTGGGATTGTTTGCTGGAGTAGATTTCCTAATGTTTTATGTTGTTTGTCTCTAGTGTGTACATAGCAATATGGTTTCCATCATTCTTAGGAAGAATATTCTACAGTATTTTCTATAACTAGAAGGTAATTATAGGCTCCTCTTCCTAGTTCACAATCAAAATTTTAATTTTATTACTTTCTCTCATATTTCTGGAATAGATAGTTCCCTTTCCTTTATAACATTTCAGTGTACTTTTGAGTATACTTCTCAAATGTACATGAATATTTTTACTGTTTTTGGACCTTGTGTACCCAAAATGCATGTTTACTCTCAAACATCTTTCCTGTAGCCCGTAACAATAACCTTATATGTCTGGATCCTCATATTTGTTTATAATGCTAATATTTAAGAATATGGGTAACTTTTCATTTGAATTACAACTACAAAAATCATTAAAGAAAAATCTTTAAAAGAATAAACTCATCCAAAAATGTGGGAATAATCTGTGTATTTAAAGCACATTTTTCTCACATGTTATTTTTCTTGCAGTGGACTGACTCACTGCTTATGGATTGCCAGGATTACTAGAGAGACAAGGACAAAGGAGAAAAGAGCATTTTTCTCAAGCCACTTTGTTGGTTATCATCTTACATTAATATAATGCTCCTAACAGTTGTTAATTCTGGACACTAAATATGTTAAATCAAGATTAATAGTTAATGGAGAAGGAAATGGCAACCCACTCCAGTATTCTTGCCTGGAGAATCCCATGGACAGAGGAGCCTGGCAGGCTACAGTCCATGGGGTCGCAAGAGTTGGACATGACTTAGCGACTAAACCACTGGAGAAAGACTAACCTCAATTTGGGAGCAAGTGACAACTGTCCTTAAGATTTCTTTTTTTTTCCCCTGATAGAAAAAGAAAACACTTGGAAAATGAAAATAATAAATTTTCTATTCAAATGTAAAAAAAAAATTAATAGTTAAGAAAAAACTTGGAATTTTAAAAACAAAGAAAAATATACATAGAAAACCTAATCAGTTTATCCTTTTAAAAGTAGCTGTTGATCTTTCCTCCTTTTTAAGCCCAGTCTGTATCTCTCTCTTGCTGTCTTTTATACACACTTCCCAGAAGCAAAGAAAGAATTGTAATGAATAATGCATGTTAAATATAACATGGTTTTTTTACTTGGGCATATTTGAGAACCTCCTACTTTTATGACATATTTCTAAAATAAATTGTAATATTAGTGTTCCCAGTAGTAAAGAGAGTATTTCTTTTGACTAAAACTTTCTAAGTGAGATTATCCTCTTTTTGCAAAAGTTCATGGGAGCAAAAATAACTGCGCCTCACCCTGCCTTCCAAATGAATAAATGTTTCACTTCTTACTCTGGGCATGCAAAAACTTGAGCCCATTGGTGAGGCTTGGTCAATACAGAGAGTGCAGTAGCCAGATTTCCTGCATGTTGTGACATGGAATGACAAGCAATCTCTGTAGGAGCCTGTGCTGAATTCATCTAGAAAGGAAATATCCTTTCCCACTTCTCTTACCTATATTAAATGGATTTTGTGTTAGAACAGCATGTCATCTTACTAAAGATAATTTTAGATTCAAAATAGAAAACTGTAAAGGTTTTATTTATAAAATGGATCTTTCTCTGAATGAGAATCACTAATAAGTTAATATCATCAAGCTGCAAAACTTGTTGGTGTTTATTTTAACTTGTACTATTCTGGTCTTTTTTTTAGCTTGTATTAAAAATAGATGATATATTTGAGTCTAAGAGAGGGAAGAAAAGGGTAAAGTTACACCCTTACACTGGAAAAGATGTACCTCCCTCTAAAGGTAAGAATTGTTCCAGCTGTCCATAGCTATTAGCATATGATAGGAAGATCATTATATAATTTAATGTTTGATGTGAATTATAATTTTTGGTTTACTTTCCTGTCTCTCCCACTTAAACATAAAACTTCTTTAGCCTAAGGAATTATTTCTTGTTCTTCCTCAAATCCCTTTTATTTAGTTCTGGTTGTTGTTGTTCACTCACTAAGTCATGTCTGACTCTTTGCCAAGTAATAGCTACAAATTTAAAAATAGTTATAGACCAATGAGAATGATTTTTCATAGACAGATTTCATCCTTATCTTGTAATCCTTTGATTTATAGTCTTTTGTCAGTGTAGACTCGTTCAGTGGAGAAATGAAAATATTAGGTATATATATACTGAAGGTATGTGGTATTCAACCTATAGTCATCTAATAAGTTCAGTAGTTTTGTCCTTAAGATGCCTAGATAAAACTTTAGATTGTCTTGACTGAGAACCTTTCAACATTCATAATGAATTATTAGACTTTACAACTAACTTGCTTGTCTGGCACAGAATATGTAGAAGTTAGCAATTTTTATGTATGAGATTCATAAGTGAGAAACAACAGCCAAATCATACCAGAGAATAATGTTTCATATTTTTGCAAAGACTTCCAAAGACAGAAATTTCTTAATTTCCATTAAAAAATCTATTCCTCTTTCTACAATTGAACTATGTGAAAATAAACGTCCTCATTCAACAATTCAAAACTCTTTCTTCTTACTTTGTGATGATTAAAATCATCCTGTCACCATTTAAAATGTGAATTTTCATATTTTCAGAAGCAATTATTAAAACATTTTGGTCTTCTATAGAAGAAATACTTCTAGTTATTGTTAATAATAATAGCTACTACTTAATTGAATGAAGTAATGGTTTCTTTATGTACTTTATCTGGCGTATAACATATGACCACACTGGGAGGTGTGGGACTATCCTGATTTTACAGAGTAAGAAGCTGAGCGAGAAGAGGAAGCATCTATTTGAATCAAGGAACATGACACCACAAAGTCTTACTCTTCTTTATCACCAACAGTTAACTCAGTTTTTCTCATAAGTCTTGATTTTTAGCAGTTTCACTATCTCCTCTCTAGATGTTTTCATATATCCAGTAAAGATATGGTCAAATGCTCTTCATTTGTATAATTCAAAAAGAGATACAAAAAAACAAAACAAAACAAAGAGATACAGAAGATGAAAAGTAATGCCAGATATTCTGCTGGATCTTTTCAGATACATTATGATTGTCTTTTCTAAATAACTGTATGTAGCAAATATTATTGTTTTTATAGATAAGGAAATTATAAATTGCAAATTATATGAAATATCAAGGACAAATTCTTAGAAAAGATTGTCAGTTTTCCCAGATTAACAGCAATCTGTTGATAAGTATATCCACCAGATATGCTACTCTAGGTAGATTATCAGTGATCTGTTATTTGTATGCTTTATGGATTAGGAAGATTTTAGTAAAGTTGACTCTAAGAAAAGTTTTTGAAGAGTCAAATCCTTTTTTTCACTGTCTTTATTGAAAAGAACAAAAAATCAACAGCATAAAGTGCCAACTTGTAACATATACACACGAAAGGGGGAGTCCCGACAAGTTTATTTTCTTTTGCATGGCTCAGAGGAAATGTGCATTTACCCAGTCTCTGTGACCAACTTCTTCAGTGGACAGGGAGAATTTCTCTCATGCTTGAGGACTCTGGCTCAGTAGTCACAGTTCTCAGGTTTTTGTTTTCCTCCTTAAGCTTTTGTCTGTGCATCAACAATGCCTCGTAGAACCAGATAATTTTTTTTACCTACTCTGCCAGTACATGCTAGGTTTTACTGAATCTATTCCAACCTAAACATTTCTTAACTCTCAATTCTCAAGTATCACAAAATGATTTACTGCCCTTCTTCAAAAGGCAAAATTTTGTATGTTGAAGCCACTTATCAAAAAGGGACAACCTAGTACATTTTTGATCCTTATAGATTCTCAATATTGGCTTATAAACCCCTTAACCTTCATTCCATGTCTTGGAATGTAGGTCATCAAAACCCAGAGGTGAATATGTTAAAGCAATATAAATGATCTTTTCTAAGGTCTTTGCCAGGTAAATTACCTTTCCTCCTTTCCCGTTTTCTCCTTCTTTTCTTTTCTTTTTTTCCCAGACACCTCACAGGCTCCCAAGAGGTGCCTGGTGCCAAGGATATAGATAGGGTTCAGTAGCTCGCAGTGTTTATTCTTACTTATTGATCAATAGGAAGAGCCCCACTACACTTTATGCCATTGTAGTTAGTTTGAAGTTACAGAACCTAGATAGTACACAATATTTAGATAGCTACCTTTTCTGTAACATCTCTTGTGTACTTTTCATGCCTATCTTATGGAGAGACAGTATTTTTTTATCTTCTCTTCTCCCTTATTACAAAACTAAAATGAGCACAGCAAGAAATTGCAATAATATAGAATAAGATAAAATGGAAAGCCAGTGTTTCCAGAATTTCCTGCTACTACTCCCAGAAAATTTTATGTACATGCAAATGTTTTTTCTCCCCAAATAGCTTTATACTATGTCTTGCTTTTTTTAAAAAAAAAAAAGTATAATTAATATACTTTGGAGCTCTTTCAGTATCAACACACAGAGATCCACATATCTACAATGCATTTCTTTGTATAAATGTAAAAGATTTTATTTAGCTGTTTCTAACATTTTATTTAACCTGTGGATAATTAAGGTTTATAAAGAGATAAGGTTTTTTTCTCTTTAAACAATGCTGTGATGTACATTTTTTTACTTATATATATTTTTGTATATTGGTTAGAATATATCTATAGAATGAGTTCTTAGCAGTGGACTTAATCAATTGTCTCATAAATAGATTGTAACAGCTTACATTTCTATGAACAACTTTTGAAAATGATATTTTCCTCACTATCTTAGTTAATACTGTGTTTTATTAGAGATTTTTATTTTTTACCAGTGTCATGGTTGAAAAGTATATCTTACTTATTGTTTTAATTTACATATTTTAAATTATTAATTTGGACAGTTATGTTTATCAAGATTTATCAGTCTTTTTCTATAAATTGCCTATTCCTACCCTTTTATTCATCTTTTGTTGTGCTGTGTTTTTCCATATTCATTTATGACAACTATTTGTATATTAAGAAGACAGTCTGGTGTCTACAATGTATACTACAAATATTTTTCCAGGTTATTTGCCTTTTGAATTTACTAATGATTTTTTGTTAGATTAGAAATTTTACATTTTTATACAATCAGACTTACATACATTTTTCATTTATAACTCCTAGTCCTTGTTTTTCCTGATACTTAAAACTTTACCCCTTTCTTTACATATTAAAATTTCACTTTAACTTTTTAGATTTAATTTAGAAATTTTTCATTCTCTTGTTTACAATGTTTTATGTTTTGGTTTCTTTGTTATTGTTTTATAAATTGCCAATACACCTAGAATTGTACAGAATATTCCTTTCTGAAAGCAAAACCCCTTAGCCCCAAAATACTTAAAGTCCAATTGTGGAAAATAAGAGCAGTTCAAAGCCGTCTGAGTACTGTAAGAATTCAGAGTAAAGTTCAGTTCAGTTTGGCCTTCAAGGTGGCTTAGAACATCTTAAAAGAGGTAGAATGTTACTTCATAAACTTGTTTGGTAATCTTTCTTAACATCACATTTTCTTGTTAGTCTAAACTGATAGTTTGTTCCATGTTGAGGTTTTGGTTAGCCAGGTTGATGCTTCTACCTGTGATTCCTTATTTGGGAATCAAAAGACAAATATGTCTACATTCTATGAATGTAGAAATAGAATCTACTCTAACCAAGACTTCCTGCAGCCAGTTTGGACTGCTGTTAAATTCTAGATTTACGGGTGCAAGGGGAATTAAGGAGGGAAGTGGGTGTGGGAAGAAGGTGGAAAGGAGTATTTTCTTCTCTGAGCCTTTTATTCTTTTTACAACTGTCCTGCCCTGATACAGCTAAGTGGTTTGGAGAAAGTTTCAGCCTCCTTATTATTCTTTGCTCTTAGGTCCCCAGGTCTATGGAACTTTTACATTATTCTCTTCCTCATGTTCCTCCGGCTGTTGTTGGACAATACAAATGGAAACTCTTTTTTTTCAGGTGAACCCAGTGGGTATGAAAGTGATGCTGAGTATCTACCAAAGAGTGAGTGAGTCAGTGGTGCTGCTCCCTTTCGCGTGATGATCCTGGTTTTAGGTGGAGTGGCACCTACCTTTGTGATGAAGCATATGTTTTCTACACCAAGTTTCACTTTGTCGGTGATTTCTTCATTATAAGATCCTGTTGAGATTTAGGGAACTAAACAATACACTGCCAGATGTTGTGACAGCATTAAAAATCTCCCATAGTTGAGAATGGATACATATATATATGTATGGCTCAGTCCCTTTGCTGTTAACTGTCATAACATTGTAATTAACTATCTACCAATACAAAATAGAAAGTTTAAAAACTCTCCCATGGTGGTGTGAGGCAAAGCTATATATTTCTTAAGATGGAATGTTCTGAGGGGAGTGGCAGAGCTGCGTGTTCAGACACATATGCAGCCGTTTCCCAGCAGCCAAAGCAGAGCATGTGAGTCATCCCCTGAGACAAAAATATCTGATTTTTTGATAGTCACTCAAGTGTAATTCTTTTTTTTTTTTCAAATGTAATTCTTTTAAGTGTCTTAGCTACCTCTGACATTGAGATAGGCAACACTGATCTGTTTCTTTTTCATAGGCATTTATATTCTAAATTACTGTGCCATTTACTTTCAGTTAAGAGTATAAACTATTCCATGCATTCTTGGTTGTACTTGTTCAAGTACTCAAAGGCTCTGTATCCTGCACCTAGTGGATTTTCACAGCAAATTATTTCATTTCTGTTTAACTGAGGCATGGAAGAAGTAGGAGACATGAAATATCAAAGCCAAGAACAGGGCAGCTCCAAGTCTGATATTTCTGACTTTATGATTAATAATCATGTGCTCCTACCAGTAGCTTCAGTTGCTTCAGGTGTTTGATTCAGTAGCCTGATTTAAGGTGAAACTTAAGTCACCATCAAGTTCAACTTGGATGTGTAAAGATGACTAACTTAGTGCTGTTGCTACTAAGGCCCTAAATCAGGCCCTAAAATTTTCTTGATCTGAGCTAAGCCCTTTGGAGTAAGAAGGCTTGCCTAGAGCACCTTTTTAAGTGCTCTTAATATTTTGATCCACATCATAACTTCTTTGGGGCAGAATGCATCACATCTCGAAAGAAAAGCAAAACAATTAGAGGGTGAGTCTTTCAGTCATTGGCTTAGAATGCTGCTGCTGCTGCTGAATCGCTTCAGTCATGTCCGACTCTGTGTGACCCCATAGACGGCAGCCCACCAGGCTCCCCAGTCCCTGGGATTCTCTAGGCAAGAACACTGGAGTGGGTTGCCATTTCCTTCTCCAGTGCATGAAAGTGAAAAGTGAAAGTGAAGTCACTCAATTGTGTCCGACTCTTAGTGATCCCATGAACTGCAGCCCACCAGGCTCCTCCATCCATGGGATTTTCCAGGCAAGAGTACTGGAGTGGGTTGCCATTGCCTTCTCCGGCTTAGGATGACACATAAGCAAATCTCTGGGATGCTTAGATTATTTCTTCTGCAAGTACTGCGTCCCCCCTAGTGGAGACTATCCCAAATTATCCAGAATTTAGAACAATGAGAATAAAGGATAAATGTTATCCACTTTTGAGTGGGATTGCTCACACTGTTTAAATAGTACGCGTCTATAAATTCCTTCTTTTGAGAAACAATCTGCTAATGAATATCTCCTTATTCATTTTTTCCTCTTGTGTTTAGCACCATTTATTGATATATGTCCATCATTCATAATACATGCCAAAGAGAGAAGGGAAAACAACAGTTTGTTTCTTGTGAGAATAGTTTTGTTTTATAAAAATTGCCTCTTTATGTACTTACCTTCTATAGGACTCAACTATTTTATCAGATCTTTTCCCCCACCTATGATTTCATGGTCTCAGCAGTGGCATCTGTGGTCTGGCCAGTGCTTTTACCTGACCTTGGCCGTGTGTTCTGGTGTCATGCCGTGAAAGAGGGGATAACGCAGAGTATGTGTTGGGACATGCCTAGGTATCAGTTGGGACACAGAACATCAGTCCCACTGCAGAGCCCCCAGGTGCCTGTGAGAATCTGCACTTGTCCTCCACGTGTAGAGCCCTAACAAGCATGTCTGGGTGGCAGACGTTCATTAGTCAACGTTCATTAACAATGACTGAGTCAAGATTAGCCCCACATGGGTTATGACCCCTGGGTGCTAGAGGGAAGATAGGGCTACAAAGAAAGACAATGCTCTCTGATCTCATCGCAGGTCGCCACAAGCGCATAGCACAACTGCAGCAGTCTTCCAAGAGGAATCCGCACTACCAGACTTTAGAGCGGGATCTGATTGAATTACAGGAGCAGCAGCTCTTTGAACTTTTTGTGGTGGTGTCTCTACAGAAGAAGCCGTCAGAAGGAAGCTACGTTCCCCAGGTCATACAACAATTCCCTAGCAAGGTAGGTGCACAGAGGCCATGAGGCATCCAGGAGTGGACGGCATTCCTGTGTCTGTGTATTTATCCCTCTCCTCCTGTTTACTTTGGTCTCCATCAGCTTTTACTAACGCTGTACTTCTTGTAGGACATGGATCTGATTATATCTTTTCATTATTCAAGTTGGGTTTTTATTTTTGCTCTACTGCTTACTGAGTGACCTTTAGCAAGTTCAGTTCAGTTCAGTTCAGTCGCTCAATCGTGTCCGACTCTTTGCAACCCCATGAATCGCAGCATGCCAGGCCTCCCTGTCTATCACCGACTCCTGGAGTTAACTCAAACTCAAGTTACGAAGCCTCAGGTTTCTGCTTCTTAATGAGAGCGAGTGAATGAGTGAAAGTCACTCAGTCATGTGTGACTCTGACCCCACGGATTGTAGCCCACCAGGCTCCTTTGTCCATGGAATTCTCCAGGCAAGAATACTGAAGTGGGTTGCCATGCCCTCCTCCAGGGGATCTTCCCGACCCAGGGATTGAACTCAGGTCTCCTGCATTGCAGGCAGATTCTTTACCCTCTAAGCTACCAGGGAAGCCCCATTCTTTTTTTCTTTTTTTTCCATTTATTTTTATCAGTTGAAGGCTAATTACAGTATTGTAGTGGTTTTTGCCATACATTGACATGAATCAGCCATGGATTTACATGTATTCCCCATCCCGATCCCCCTCCTGCCTCCCTCCCCACCCCATCCCTCTGGGTCTTCCCAGTGCACCAGCCCCGAGCACTTGTCTCATGCATCCAACCTGAGGAAGCCCCATTCTTAATGAGGGGAATGATAAATGTGGCAGAATAAGGTAGCAGTTCAGAGCACAGACTGTGAGCCAACTGTCTGCAATTGCCACTTATTAACTCTGTGACTTAGAGCAGTTAAACTGGTCTGCATCTTGTTTTCTTCATTGGTGAAGGAGGGGTAATCATAACAGTGTCTACCCCATATGGTGAGGATTAAATGAGCTCATTATATAATAATTAATATAAGGCACTTAGAACAATGTCTAGCATATAGTAGCACAATATAATGTTATCCCATATTAGTGAGGATTTAATGAGATAATGTATGTAACATGCTTAATGCAGTTTCTGGCACATAGTAAGCACGTGATAAATGGTTACTGTTATTAACAGTATTATTTCCTTTACTCTGCCTTTTCCACAAAATCATTCATTCATTTATTTCATCAGTATTTCATAAATGCCTACTATTTGCCAAGATTATATCCTGGGAACACAACTAAAATAGATCTTTTTGGTTCCTGTCCTCACAGAGCTTACAAAATAGACCCTAAATGTGGCTCTGAGCTTTGTGACTGTAAAAATAAAGAACATGATCATTACATCAGGACTTACAAACTGATAGCCTCTGAGCTTATTGAGCCCACAGACATATTTTGGGGGGGTTGCTGTAATATAGTAATAAAACAGTAATAAAGTTTTTGTTGTCAGGTTTTTGTTTAAAAGTCAAATTTCACATAGAAATCTGTATTTTGGCTTTTTCCTGAGAAACTAGAAAGACTGCCGGCACTCAGCCCACATTCCTAAGTGGCATGAATTGGCTGAAGCTGAGTAAGGAGCTTCATGGGTATGTGACCAGTGCAGTCACAAAAGGCCTCTCTCCTCTAGAAGGGCCCTGCTCCACAGGAAACTCTCAATTTATATTTGAATTTGTGTTTTCTAAGTGAGGAGTGAGGTCCGATGAGACAGTGGGGCGTGTGCCAAGGTCTTAAAGCCTGGGTTCATGGGTGGTCTCACCTGCTTCCTCCCCAAAGTGGGTTCTCTAGTTGTCCTCACTCCTGCTTCCTGGGTCCCCAGGTCTTGTCAGGCTTCCCCCTTTCCAGCCTCACTCACTGGCTGCTGCCACCCTCTGCGGCGTGCATGGGGAGAGTCAGGATCAGGCAAGCATTAACCCCGCAGTGTCTTAAGCAACGCATGGTCTTGCTTAACGCCTTAATGCAGTGTCTTAGTGCCCTGCCCTGGGCATTGCTACTCCTATTCAGTGGGTGGTCTAGAGGGGCAAGCCTTTTCATCACCCCCAATCCAAGTACTGAGCATGTGCCTGTGTGGAGGCTACAGCCCCTTGAGGGTTGCCCAGCTGCTATGGGTTGGAGTGGCGGGCTCATGGTAAGGGAGTTACCCCGGCTCAACTTCTCCCCCGCTAGTTAGGACACAGGGTTTGAGTCCTGCGCCTGGCCCGAGGGGAAACGCTGCAGCTGGTGGGTCAGTTGTGCACCAGACTGTGGGCCAGGGGCCCTGAGCACCTGTGAATGTCCACACTTATCCCCAAGATCCTCGTGCCTGAGGGAGCATGCCTCTGAATACAAAATCAAAAACCCTGTTTTGTTTTAGAAATTAAAAGATAGGTCATTGATATTAGTTACATGAAGGCAATATGGTAATTAGAATTATCTGCTTATTTTTGTACTAATTTTTAAATGTCTTTTGACTTAACTGGATTTAGACTGTTCTTTAAAGTATAATACCAAACTTACACAAAAGGGTCTTCCATGCTAGAATTTTACAGGAAGTCGCAAACCCATAATTAGGTAGCAAAGATTACATGCTAAGGGAAACGATTATATGTGGAGTGGATTCTAAAAATACTATTTTTTCTAAGTAACAGTCATCTGACTTTTCAGAACATCTTGGATTATTGATCAGGGAGTATCTTGAGCTGACTAGGTTTTTGCTATCAATATATTATAAAATAGATTTTCATTTATTTTATATTCCATGATTCACAAAAATATTCTGACTAGTATGTGAATACTTGAACTAAGATTCTTTCTCTAGATAAGAAACTGTTTTCAATAATTTCTCTCTTACATCAGATTATAGGATCTCCTCAAGTACCCTCTCTATATAAAAACAGAATTCTTTTTACTTAGAAACTGTTCCTTAGAAATTTTCAGTGATTAACAGTCTTGGCCCTCCTGTTTTATAAAACTGCACAAAAACCACTCTGAGATAACTACCTTGACTTATTGGATACCTCTTTTCCTGAGAACAGGCTGAGTTTTTTATTTCTACACTCTACTTACATAGAATATTAGTCACTTCCAATGTTTTTTTTATTTCAGGGTGATCATGGCTTTAAGCAATCCAGAGACACTGAAGAGAGGCTCAAAGTTATCCCCAAATTTTGTTTTCCTGATTCAGAAGACTGGGTGCCAACCTCAGAACTCAAGAGGTAAATAGACTACTTTATCTGATTTCTGTTTGTTGAAACTGCAAAAGTAGAATCAGAATGTTCGAGAAACAGATAGAGCCAGTAGTGAAGCTATGTATACTCTGTGGTAGGGAAGGAAGAAACAGGATTAGGACATTTCCTATGTGGGGCTCCCAAAAGAAAAGCACAGTGTCAACGGGAAAACAAGTTTGAAAGTCTCTTCAATTTGCCAGTTCTGCAGGAAAAAAAGTTCCAGTTTATATACAATCATAAATGCCACCAAGTGGACATAAAAGGAAAAAAATACTGAATTTAACTCAGAAACAGAAACAAAACACGGCAGTGTCAGCATCTTGTATCTCCCTCAAATTGTTAGAAAAAGCTATAGCCCAGACTGTATGTTCCCCTATCAAACTTGTACAAAAAGGAGGCTGGAGTTTGGAAGGTATAAGTATACTGGAAAGGAATTACAAGAAATTTCTTCCCAGTATCTAGAGGAAATTACTATTTTCAATTAATAAGACATCATCATCTCATATCCTGCTTGTAAATAGATGACTGCTTCTTTCAAAACTGGAATTACTGGTCATGTATTTAGGCTGAAAAGCATGATTATGTGAACCATATCACATGCTGATGACCTGCTGGAAGACAGCCTCAGCTGTTGCCTAAGTGGCTGTGCCCTTCCACACCGCGTTGCCTCCAGACTAAGCTGCTGCCTCTCACAACCAGTTTAGCCTGATCACCACTGTCATCTCTGAGCCATCAATCCTGATGCTTTTGTGCTCTCAGTTGCACTGCTAACCACATAGGCAGCTTCTTTCATATGGACCTGGCTGCTCCATGGTTGCCTTTTCCCTCTCCCCAGGAGATATGTGTGTTTATTCTAAAATATATGGAAAATACAGAGGAGTAAATAAAAAGCAAAAATTACAAGTCACTGGCATTCTGGTTTACTCAGAGATAATCACTGTGTTTTGAGATGTTCCCTTCCAATCTTTATTCTTGGCCATATATAAGCATATGTATATAATGTTGTTCAGATTTGAATTCCTTTTGATTGTTAATGAATTTATTTCTTGGGCCTCTCTAGGTCTTCATTTTGTGAGTTACCTATGCATTTTATCTTTTGCCTGTTTCTAATGAGGAGATGACGATTTTCCTATTAATTTTTATATATTAAGGATATAATCTTTTGTCTATCACTGTTCCATATGACCTCTCAAAACTAAGTAGAAGAATTTGGAAAGGAAGAATAGCTTATTAAAATCCTTTTTAGTTTACCTATGTGTTTGGCTAAGCTGAACATTCAACAGAAGGAAAATAGACTTGATTAATAGCTGACCAGATAAATAAGAAAGTGACAGGAGGCAGTGGCTTCAACAGCTCATCCGATACCTGTTCTCTCACTCCAGTGCAAAGCAAGATGTTCTCAAGGGCTGGACCTTTGAGAATTTGAGAATTTTCCCTCAGGATGAACATGACTTGCAATAAATATAATATCAGTGCTTCCTCTTACATCACAAAATGGCTGCTGTTAGACACTAATTTTTTAATTGCTTGTTCCAAGGAATGTGATAAGTAGTTGTTTGAATCTCAAACTGTTGACTGTTTTTTCAGTGAAACCTTCTCCTTTGTCTTAACTGGTGAAGATGGGAGCCGGTGGTTTGGTTACTGTAAGAAACTGTTGGTAAGTACCAGACTTGTGCTCCAGGCAGCTTTGGTCGAGAAACAATAGAGTCAGACTAGGAACTTCAGAAGCATAATCTCTAGATGAGTCTGGGGACTACTCATTGATTTGTGTATTACAAAGAAACTGTGTCAGCTTTAAATAGTAAGAGCAGGGTGGAGGTTAGCCACAGAGTGTTTCAGAATAGAAGGGGTATGGATTTATTTTATTTGTTTGTCTGTAATAGATAGTGAAAGCACTGACATTGTAGCGGAAGTCAGTCTGCTTATGTTTGAGGAATGGAGTACAGTGAGCAAGTCGAGGGAGCTCTGAGTTACTTTCTTCTTGCTTAGATGCCTTCATTAAGCTGGAATAAATCATACCTTTTTTTTTTTTTTAGCATTTTTCCATCTTTCAGTGTTCATTGAGAATGAGACCTTTGGTTCCTACTCTATACTAAGGACTATTAAGAGGTACTAATAGTCCAAATTAGTAAAGACTTGTGTTACTTAATTTTTGCTTTGTTGTTATTGTTGTTGTTTAGCCAGAAGGCAAAGGAAAGCGACTCCCTGAGGTATACTGCATGGTCAGTCGCCTAGGCTGCTTCAACCTTTTTTCAAAGGTGAGTGGGAATGGGTGCTATGAAAGGTGGTGTCCTTTCTGAGCTCTGAGTATGTCTTTGTTTCTGATGACTTCACTAAGCAATGTTAAGTGGCATAGACTTTTAACATTCTACTTTAGAAAGGGTTTTCCATTAGTAGATTCCAACTACAGGTTTGAAGGCTTAAACTTAGATCTCTAAACCACATGATGTTGCCCTGTAATTCTCATTTTGGTTTGCTAAACCTTGCTGCTTAAAGCGGAACTTTGCCTGAAGTTTATCTTGTCTCATGTCTTTCCCAGACACCGAACTGCAGGATATTATTGTGTTACCTTCTTTGCCCCTTCCTTGGTGATATAAAAAGGGGCTGCTTTCTAAAATTAAATTGATTTATTTTAATAACTCTTCTTAGAGATTTAAAGATACTCCAAGAGAAAGGAGGCCTTTAATGAACTTTTATTAAGGGTGGCAGAAGCTTATCTGTCTTAAAATTAGTGATTGTATTATTTTCAAGTTTGTGCACCCAGTTTTTCAGTTCCTTTAATAGAATTCTTTTATGTTTTTGAACTGAGTCCTTAATTAAAAAAAAAAAGATACGTTTTGTGTATATAGATTCTGGACGAAGTAGAGAAAAGAAGAGAAATGTCTCCAGCTTTGGTTTACCCCTTCATGCGAAGTGTCATGGAAGCTCCTTTCCCAGCTCCTGGACGCACCATCACGGTGAAGAGCTACCTCCCTGGGGCTGGAGATGGGGTGAGTTAGTTAATTTTGAGGAGACTCGCTAGCTGCCAAAAAGCAATCCTTATGCTAGTGGACCTTACTTGATAGAAACCTTTCTCCTTTTCATAAATTGCACAGAGTGTGTTTCAGTCACAGAAGTACTAGAGAATCCAGTTCATCTGTGAGATTGTTGATCCTAGACGCAAGAACCAGAGGTTTCTCTACCATTCATAGACCGAACCACTCATAAATTGACCTGCATGAGGTCAATTTCAATATGATAAATGTTGTCCGGTGGGATGAAAGATTTCACCAGAAATTTATGGCATGAAACTAAAGTATTAAGTCTTGAGATCAGTGTAGGCTGATTCACAAACTCTGCAGCAGCCCCTCTCTCTTGAATTTAATCTGTAAAAGAGTGACAGGCTCCATTAGTATTGTCATTAGGGATCTTTTCCCACCTCAGCTCCCCTGATTGAAATGTTTGCATTTCAGTCCATTGAACTGTGCCGGCCACTGGACTCGCGACTGGAACATGTTGATTTTGAGTGTCTCTTTAAGTGCCTCAGTGTGTGCCATCTCATTCGAGTCTGTGCCTCTCTCCTCTTGGAGCGGAGGGTAATCTTTGTCGCCAACAGCCTAAGGTGAGAAATAAGTAAGATATGTCACTTCAGACTGGGGTTTTACTTGTTCTTAGTGTTTTAGAATTTGGCCACATTAAAAAAAATGTTTAGGTAGGATCTCAATTACTTAATGCTGTAGCGACATGAATAATCCAAAAGCTATTTGCGTTCAGCTATACCAGTTTCTTTTGAGGGTTGCAATTAATTTACCTTCAAAATGTGTTCTGTTGAAACTTGTTAAAAATTGGTATTGCTTCTCTGAGTATACACTAGTTTTTAGCAATATAAATTGTGGGAAACATCTGGATTGAGATTAACGATTTTCAGAAAATTAAGTTAAAAATTTAAATAGGATGTTAATGAGTAATCACAGAATTGTTAATCTGTGATCACTGGTATCAGTTTGTAATCCTGTAATTTCATATCTGACATGCCCACTATATGTTGCTGTTTATGTGACACCAGTTTGCTTTCTCCTCTGGCTAGCACCCTGTCAAAATGTGGTCATGCCGTGGTTGCCACACTGTATCCATTCACCTGGCAGCATACCTACATCCCAGTCCTGCCAGCATCTATGATTGACATTGTATGCTCACCTACTCCATTCCTTATTGGAATCTTGTCTTGCTCCTTACCACAGCTCCAGGACCTACCCATCGAAGAGGTAATATGGGAGAATTAGTACCTGTGAAAAAGATTGGCTCACTGGCAAATGAAAACAAGTGATTTTTAACAGTGATGGATATGTCATTAATTAATAATAGCATGTACTTCTTATTGTTATGCTATCATATTTTTGTATCTGCTTATTAAAATGAGTAAAATACTATAGTACACATGAATCTGAAGTTATATCTTATTTACAGCATTGAACCATGTGCTAATTCTTGTGTTATTCTGAAGAATAGGTCTTTAAAAAAAAAAAATCATACAAAAAACTACTCTGGGTTAATTTTTAAATTCTTTCAAATATAACACACATACAGATAAGTTCCCAAAACAAAATGTACAGCTCAGTTAATTATCACAAAGTGAATGCTAATGGTAACCAACACTGGAATAGAATAGAGACATTACAGCCATGGAAACAAAGTCCTCATCATGCCTTCTTTTTCTTGCTTTAAAATTTTTTTTAATATAAATTTATTTATTTTAATTGGAGGCTAATTACTTTACAATATTGTAGTGGTTTTACCATACACTGACGTGAATCAGCCATGGATTTACATGTGTTCCCCATCCTGAACCCCGCTCCCATCTCCCTCCCCATCCCATCCCTCTGGGTCATCCCAGTGCACCAGCCCCAAGCACCCTCTCATGCATCGAACCTGGACTGGTGATCCGTTTCACATATGATAATATACATATTTCAGTGCCATTCTCTCAAATTATCCCACCCTCGCCCTCTCCCACAGAGTCTAAAAGACTGTTCTTTACATCTGTGTCTCTTTTGCTGTCTCGCATATAGGGTTATCGTTGCCATCTTTCTAAATTCCATATATATGCGTTAGTATACTGTATTGGTGTTTTTCTTAAATTTTTAAAAAATTATTCTGACTTATTGTTTGGCCACACTGTGTGGCATGTAGGATCTTAGTTCCCTGACCAGGGATCAAACCTCTGCCCCTGCATTGGGAGCTCAGCATCTTAACCCCTGGACTGCCAGGGAAGTCCCCCATCATGCTTTCCTCAAATCACTGTTCTCTTCCCCACTCCTTGCAAAAGCTAACTATTATCTTGACTTTTTTGATGCTCATTTTCTTGTTTTTCTTTATAACTTAACATCCTAGGCATGTATCCCTAGACAATATAGTTCAGTTTTGCCTGGTTTTAAGCTTGATATAAATGGATTCATACAGCAATATTTTTCTTTTCTTTTTTTTCTTAGTCTGGCTTCTTTCAAGCAACATTATATCTTTAAGATTCACCCATGTTGATGAGTTTATCAGTAGTTTGATCATTCTGATTGTGTATAGTAATCCATTGTGTAAATGTACTGCAATGTTCTCATCCATTCCATAGTTGATGGACATTTGCGTTGTTTCCAGTTTGGGGTTATTATTAATAATGCTGCTATAAATATTCTTGTTCATGACCCTTGGTACATATGTGCATGCAGTTTTATGGGCAAATATTTGGAAATGGAATTGCTGGGTCATAGAGCAAACATATCTTCAACTTTAGTAAGTAAAGTCAAGCTTTTCCAAAGTAGTTGTGCCAAGTTAAGCTTCCTCCAGCAGTGGATGAGAGTTCCTGTTGCTCCATATCCTTTTCAGCCCTTGTTGTGTTCACTTCATATCATTTAGCTTTTCAACTTTAGTAAGTAAAGTCAAGCTTTTCCAAAGTAGTTGTGCCAAGTTAAGCTTCCTCCAGCAGTGGATGAGAGTTCCTGTTGCTCCATATCCTTTTCAGCCCTTGTTGTGTTCACTTCATATCATTTAGCTTATCAGATAGTTGTATTTTATTTTGGTTTTATTAGTATTCCTTGATTGTGGTTGAGGGTGAGCATCTTTCTATATGTTTATCAGCCATTTGAGTGTCATCTTTTGTAAAATTGATAGGCTATCCTTCTACTGAATTATTTACTTTCACTGATTTGTAAGAGGCCTTTTCATACTCTGAATGTGAACTCCTTTGTGGTTTGCCTTTTCATTCTCCAAAAATATTTTTTTTAAATATGGAAATGTTCTTAATTTTAATGTGGCCAGAATTGTCAATCTTTTTTTTTTTCCCCTATGGTTAGTGTTTGTGTGTGTGTGTGTGAACTGCTTAAGTTTTTCTTAATATTAGCTTCATGGAAATAGTCTCCTCTGTTAGCTCCTGGAAGCTTTATTATTATGCCTTTAATTTTTGGCTCTTAAGCCTGGAGATTGGTTTTTTATTTTATTTTTTTATATATAATAGGAGGTAGGGGGAATTTCCTGGCAGTCCGTGTTAGGACTCAGCACTTTCACTGCTGAGGATGTCGGTTCAGTCCCTGGTTGGGGATCTCGCAAGCTGCGCATGTGACCAAATTAAAAAAAAAAAAGAAAGGAGGTAGGGATCATTTCATTTTTAAAATATGGATAGCCTACTATCCCAGTACCACTTATTGAAAAAACTCTTTGTCTATTACACTGATGGGTTAACCTCCCCCCTCCAATTTTATTGAGAAGTGATTTACATATAACACTGTATTAGTTTCAGTGTACAGCATAATGATATGATACCTGCATTTATTTGAGGGCTTCCTCGGTGACACTAGTGATAAAGAACCCACCTACCAATGCAGTAGGCATAAGAGACATGGTTTGATCCCTGGGTCGGAATAATCCCTTGGAGGAGGAAGTGGCAATCCATTCCAGTATTCTTGCCTGGAGAATCCCATGGACAGAGGAGCCTTGCAGGCTACAATCCATAGGGTCACAAATAGACATGACTGAAACAACTTAGTACACACGCATGCATGCATATATTTCAAAATGATTACCACAGTAAGTTTAGTTAATATCCATCACCTAACATAGTTAGAAAAAATTTTTTCTTGTGATAACAACTTTTAAGATGGTTTCTTAGCAAGTTTCAAATATACAATATAGTATTGTTAACTGTAGTCACCATGCTGTACATTACATATCCAGCACTTACTTACCTTGTAACTGGAAATTCGTGCCTTTTGATTCCCTACACCCATTTTATCAATCTTCCAACCCATCTCTGGCAACCATCAATCTGTTCTATGTATCTATGAATTCGGTTGTTTTAGATTCCACATGTAAGTGAGATCATATGGGATTTGTCTTTCTCTGCTTGACTTATTTCACTTAGCATCCATATTATTACAACTGGCAGGATTTCCTTCTTTTTATACCTGAATAATATTCCATTGTATATATGTACCACATCTTTATCTAGTCATCTGTTAATGGACAGTTAGGTTGTTTCATTGTTATGGCTGTTGTAAATAATGCTGCAGTGAACATGGGGGTGCAGCTATTCTTCAAAATAGTGACTGTGGATACATGCCTAGAAGTGGCATTGCTAAATTATGCACTGGTTCTATTTTTAATTTTTTGAGGAACCTCCTTAATATTTCCAGAGTGGCAGAACCAATTTACATTTCCATAAAGAGTACACAATAGTTTCCTTTTCTCTACATTCTTGCCAGTATCTGTTATCTCTTGTCTTTTATTAATAATCATTCTAACAGGTGATAATATCACATTATGGTTTTTTGGTCTGCATTTCTTTGATGTGGAGTACCTTTTCATATGTTTATTAGTCATCTGCATGCCTTCTTTGGAATAATGTCTATTCAATTCCTCTGCCTATTTTTTGTTTTTCTTTCCTCCACCTGTTCTTAAATTGGATTCTTTGGGGTTTATTTTTTTGGCTGTTGAGTTGTATGAGTTCTTTATCTGTTTTGGATATTAACCCCTTATCCAGTATATGATTTTCAGGTATTTTCTCCCATTCTGTAGGTTTTCTTTTTATTTCACTGATGGGTTCCTTTGCTGTGCAGAAGCTTTTTAGTTTGATGTAGTCCCACCTGCTTATTTTTGCTTTTGTTACCTTTGCTTTTGGTGTCAAATCCAAAAAATCATTGCCAAGACCAATGTAAAGATGCTACCCCACTGTGTTTTCTACGAGTTTCATGATTTCAGGTCTTATGTTTAAGTCATTAATTCATTTTGAGTTGATTTTATGTTTGGTATAAGATAGGGATCCAATTTTATTTTTTGGCATGCCGCTAATTTTCCTATAACCATTTATTGAAGAGATTGTCCTTTCCCTGTTGTGTATTCTTGGCTCCATTGTCAAAAGCTAGTCGGCTATTTGTGAGGTTTATTTTTGAACCGTGTTTTCTGTTCCATGAAGCTATGTGTCTGATTTATGCTAGTACTACACTGTTTTGATTCCTACAACTTTGTAATATAGTTTGAAATGAGAAAGTATGATGGCCTCTACCTTTATTCTTCTTTCATAAGATTGCTTTGGCTATTTGGAGTCTTTTGTGGTTCCACAGAAATTTTAGAATTGTTCTGTTTCTGTGAAAATTGCCACTGGAATTTTGCTAGCGATTGCATTGACTCTGTAGATTGCTTTGGGTAGTACAAACTTTTTAACAATATTGATTCTTCCACTCCATGAGCACAGAATATCTTTCCATTTATTTGTGTATTGTTCAGTTCCTCTTACCAGTATCTTATAGTTTTCAGCATCGATATCTTTTACCTCCTTGTTTAAATTTATTCCTAGGTATTTTATTCTTTTTGATGTAGTTGAAGATGAAGTTGTTTTCTTAATTTATTTTTCAGATGCTTTATTGTTAGTGTATAGAAACATTTCTAATTTGGGTATTAACTTATTTTTTAACTTGTTACTATGGAAATTTTAAACATATGTAAAAATGAAAAAAGTAAAATTAATTACCCTCCTTAAATACTTATAAAGTTTAGGCTAATTGTACTGCCTCTCTCCCATAATATTTTGAAGCATATCCTGATGTTATTTCATAATTCTAAATATTATAATATAAATCTCTAAGCCTAAGATCATTTCAACATAATCACAATACCATTATCATACCTAAAAAATTTAATAACAGTTTCTTAATATCAGAAAAATTCAATATTCAGATCTCTAATTATTTCATAAATTTTTAACAGCTTGAATTAGGTCCCAAATAAAGTCTATGCACTGTATTTGGTTGGTGTGGTTTTTTTAGTCTCTTTTAATCTCTAGGTGTGCCACCATCATTTTTTTTTTAACTTGAAATATTTTTTACTAGTGTTGATGAGTTAGCTTTTAAATGGGCTAAAACTTTAAGTTAATGCATAACAATATCCAATCACTTTATATGCTGGAAACTATTATAATATTTAAGTCAGTTATATTTCAATTAAAAACAAAACCAAAAAACCCTTTAAGTTTATTTAAAACTATTCCCATTGCATGAAAGAATCAAAGCATTATTCCTGATCTAACAATGCCTAATGTATTTCTCTCTGAATGTCTCAGGTTTAACTTGTCTGGCTCCTTTATTCCATAGGTGCTGATAGTTGATCTCTGTGCAGACAAGTTTTTACAGGAGGTGAGTGACAAAGGAGATGATTACATAATGTTTGGGGATAATTGGCCAGAAAATATGTGAAAGTACTTAGAGAAGGTGACTCAGGCAAGACCTATAGTTCCTACACACACACTTGACTTGACACTGGCCAATCATACAAGATTGACCTGAAAAATTTGTCTTGGGTTCATAGCTGTCTGTCTCAATTTAAGGAAGGAGGAAACAGATTAAATGTCATTCTCAAAAGAGGTAACCCTCCCTTCAAGTCTTATGGGTTGATGTATAGGCCTCTAATTTAATTAAATTTAACAAGCATTCAACACCAATTATTTCTGGATATTCTTCTAGTCAGTCAGAAACTAAAGATGAGTAAGACACTCAGCTTGATCCCTCAGGCCTTACAGTTTAAAGGGGGAGAGGGAGTAGATATAGCCATAAAGTTTTAGAAATGATATATATTTGAAATTTGCATAAGATACAGTAGAGGCGAAAAAGAAATGGTCACTTATTCTGGATAGTGAAGAGGAGAATTAGAAAAGCCTTAGAGCAACCCTCTGTATGTAACCTGTATATAGGTTTTTGAGCACTGAACACAGGGTGAAAAGAATGTTTCCAGAGACTTTCTTTTTTCGTAATCAATCAGCTCATCACATTTGAAGCACCATTTATTTGGGAATGATCTTTGTAATATATCATAAGACTTGGAGATGAGAACTCTTTGGTATGGAAACTTCCAAAGAGTCTTATAAGACATATTTATTTTTCTTAAATTTAATTAAGATGTTCCCTGGTGGCTCAGATGGTAAAGAATCTGCCTGCAGTGCAGGAGACCAGGGTTTAATCCCTGGGTCGGAAAGATCCCCTGGAGAAGGGAATGGCTACCTACTGTAGTACTCTTGCCTGAAGAATCCCATGGATAGAGGAGCCTAGCAGGCTACAGCCCACAGGGTCATAAAGAGTCGGACACCACTGAGCGACTAACCATAAACATCATGGATCCTGTTCAATGTAGGGAAGGAAGCTTCAGACAGACTCTTTTTAGCCGAAATACATACAAAGCCACCTGTGGAACTTGGGGGACTTTAATAGGGCCCTAAGTTTGAGACTTTCTCTCTCAAAGCTCATGAAAATCTCAATTTTCTTCTCTTAAGGTATCTGATGAAGATGAAATTCTACCACCTAAACTACAAGCTGCCCTGATACAGATTTTGGAAGAACGAAATGAAATATTGGCTCAGGAGCAGAATTTTTCACAAGGTATGAGACAAGTGGCTGAGAGTTTAAGGTCAGGACAGTAAAAACCAAATGCCTAGCATCCTGCCAAAGCATATACAAAAATAGTATGAGATTGCCTGTGCCTTCATAAGCTGATAGTCAGCTTCCTTGCTCACCCTCGATGTGCCAAGTCCCCTTCTATTTCAGGACTTTGGCACTTGCTCAGTTCCATGTATGGAATGCTGTTCTCTTAAGCACATGGCTCCTGCTCTTTGTTCTTGTAGGTCCATGCTCAAATGTCACTTTCTTAGTGAGGCTTTTCCTGACTGTCCTGTTTAAAATTGTTCCCATTCCCTTAGCACTTCTTGTCCTCCTTCCTGACCTAATTTTTCTCCATGGCCTTCATCACCATCTGATGTGCTAGAATGTAAGTTCTATGAGAACAGTGACTGTCTATTTGTTTTCTATTCCCAATGCTTTGAACTTCCAGTTTGTTTAGTATTTCCAATACTTTCCAATCTATTTCACTAAATAGGTACTCAGTAAGTATTTGTTGAATGAAAAGATGAATAATATTTATTGGGTGGCTTACTGTATGCCAAGCATTGTTTTAAGCACTTAGCATACATCTTATTTGATCCTCATAATATCTGTATGAAGCCGGTGTTATTATTTAATCCCCATTTTACAGATGAGAACTCAAAGGCTGTTAGAGAAGGAGCAAGTTTAAAGGAGTAACTAAAAGTTCAGTTTTGAACATTAAGTTTGAGATACCTGAAAGTCGCCCAGTTGTGTCTAATTCTTTGCAACCCCATGGACTGTATAGTCCATGGAATTTTTCGGGCCGGAATACTGGATTGGATAGTCTTTCCCTTCTCCAGGGGATCTTCCCAACCCAGGGATCGAACCCAGGTCTCCCGTGTTTCAAGCGGATTCTTTACCAGCTGAGCCACAAGGCAAGCCCAAGAATATTAGAGAATATTAGAGAAGATAGCCTATCTCTCCTTCAGCAGATCATCCTGACCCAGGAGTTGAACAGATTGAACCAGGGTCTCCTTTATTGCAGGCAGATTTTTTACCAACTGAGCTGTCAGAGAAGCCCATAATTTCAGAGAGATTTATATCATTCTCTTAACAGTTTCATCTTCCCAACCCAGGGATCCAACCCAGGTCTACCGCATTGTAGGCAGATTCTTTACCAGCTGAGCCACAAGGGAAGCCCAAGAATACTGGAGCAGGTAGCCTATCCCTTCCCCAGTGGATCTTCCCGACCCAGGAATCAAACCAGGGTCTCCTGCACTGCAGGTGGATTCTTTACCAACTAAGCTATCAGGGAAGCCCCTTGAGCTACCTGTTGGATACCTACCTAATATCTGGCAGACATTCAGCTGGAGATATCAAGTAGGCATTTATATACAAGAATTTGAGATTCAGAGGAAAGATTTAGACTAGAGACTTACATTGCTATTTTAAAGCTGAGAAACCAGATGAGATAACCCAATAGAGTGAGTATAAGTAGAAAATTTAAACGATTTAAGGATTGAGCCCTGGTTGGGAACGATGTGCTTGAATTTACAACTTTTGGCAGTTGGGAAGAAAAGAATCCAGCAAAGGAGACTAAAAGGAGCAGCTAGTGAAGTAGGTGGAAACACAGGAGTATGGATTGCAGAAGCTGAGTGAAGAAAGTGTTCCATGAAGGAAAGAGTAAACAGTTACATTTAATGCTGCAAAGAGGCCAATAATATGAAAACTGAGAACTGACCAGTGGATTTTACAATGGGAAGGACTCTGGAGACCTTGGTAACAGCAGATTCAATGAAATGGTGGGAAGAAAGTGAGACACAGGAAAGTTCAAGAGAAAACTAGAATGACCTTCATCTTTTTCTAAAATTTTAGTGGAAGTGCAAAAGGCCAAGAATAGCTAAGACACTCCTAAAAAAGAACAAGATTGACAAACTTGCCCTACAGAACATCAAGATTAATTATAAGATCACGGTAATTGACATTACTTGGTTTGGGTTCAGAAATAAGCAAATAGAGCAATAAAAATGGGAAGAATAGAGAATGCACATGCCTAAGGAAACTTGATTTGTCTGTCAGCACCAGCACTGAATAGCAGTGGGAGAAGAATGATCCATTCAATAAACAATTCTAGGGCAGCTGGTGTTCCACATGAAAAGAAACAGAGATGGATCTGTACTCTATGTTATACACAGAATTAATTCTGATAAATTAAAGACTTAAATGTTACAAGTAAAATATTAAAAATGTTTAGAAAATGATAAAGAATATTTTATGTTTGGGGACAGTAATGGATTTCTGAAATGTGGCACAAAGAGCACAGACTATAAAGGGTGAGATTGGTTAATTTGACTCTGCTAATTTAAAAAATATTGACTATTTATTTATTTGGCTGCATTGGGTCTTTAGTTGCAGCATGTGGGATTTTTTTTTCTTTTTAGTTGTAGCACATTTTTTTGTGGCATATGAGGTCTTTTTTAGTTGCAGCCGCCTGTTGGGTTCCAGTTACTGGACCTGGGATCAAACTCAGGCCCCCTGCATTGGGAACATGGAGTCTTAGCCACTGGACCACCCAGGAAAGTCCCTGACTATGTTAAATTTTAAAATTTTCTGTTCATCAAGGGCCACCATGGAAAAGGAATAAAAAACAAGATGCAAACTAAATGAAGACATTTTCAACAAATATAACTAACAAAGGAAGAGTATCTAGACTTTAGTTTTTTAAAAATTCCTCCAATTTAAAAGTAAAAAGATGATCAACCCAAGAGAAAAATGGGGGAAAGATATGGACAATCATTTCATAGAAGAGGAAACATGAAAGGCCAACAAATATATGAAAAGATACACAACCTCATCAAAATCAAGAAAATGTAAATTAAAACCACGCTGAGATACCATTTTATATCTATCTTATTGGTAAAAATTTTTAAAGTCTGACAATATCAAGTATTGATAAGAATGTTTAAATTAGTTCAGTACCTTTGAAAAACAATTTGGCATCATCTAATAATGTTAAGGGTGTATATATCCTACAACCCAACAATTCCATTTTAAATATATACAAAAGAGAGCTCTTGCACATGATAACAAGGAAACAAGTACAGTAATTTTTGTAGTGGTATTGTATGTGATAGCAAAAACTAAAAACAACCTAAATGTCCACTGACAAGAGAATATAGCATTAAAAATGAATCTTAAAAACACACACTGAGGACTTCCCAGTGGTTGAGTCTGCCTGCCAATGCAGGGACACCGGTTCGATCCCTGGTCCCAGAAGATTCCACAAGCTGTGGATCAGCTAAACCTGTGGGCCACAACTACTGAAGACTGCACACCCTAGAGCCTGCTCTCTGCAGTAAGAGAAGCCCACACACCGCAACTAGAGAGTAGCCCCCACTCATCGCAACTAGAGAAACGAAAACCCAGCCCAGCCAAAAATAAAAAAAATTTAAAAAAGATTAGTTTAAACATACACACACACTGAATAAAATAATAAGTTTCAGTAGAATATGTTTTATATAATGTCCAAAGACATAGAGAACCTAACAATAATGTAGTTGGGGTTGCATGTGTGTAGTAAGAGTATGTAAAGTAAATGAAATACCAAAATTCCAAATGACAGTCACCCTCTATTGGAAAGTAGGGGAAGAACACCACTGAGAGGGCATCACACAGAGAACTTCAGAGATTCACGTGATGTTCTGTTCTAAGCTTGATGGTGGGCATTTGTGTGGTAATTTTACTTCTGGGCTTATGAAATATTCATGCATGTAAAAGAATGTATGATGTATATACATTAAAAGAGAAACAAAGAATGGGAGATAAGGTATTGAAAAGCATAATTTTTAAAAGAAGGGGAATTAGGTGTAAGAAAGTGGGTGGTATAGTCGCTAAGCCGTGTCCTACTCTTTGTGACCCTATGGACTATAGCCCACCAGGCTCCTCTGTCCGTGGGGATTCTCCAGGCAAGAATACTGGAGTGGGTTGCCGTTTCCTTCTCCAGGAGATTGTCCCAACCGAGGGACTGAACCCGGGTCTCCTGCATTGGCAGGCGATTCTTTACTGCTGGGCCACAGGGACTCCCTCAGTATAACCAAATCTTCAAGAAATTTTTTGCTGTAAACTGGAGGAGGGATGGGACAATAACTGGAAGGGATGAGAGTGGGGCAAACGTGTTGACCATAAAAGCAGTGATGGATTCTCAGTTGCAGAAAAAAAAAACAGATGAGAAGAAAGTCTGTTGAACAAAATATAATGGAAATCTAGATTAGAAAAAAAACCTAAGGACTTCCCTGGTAGTCCCAAGGCTAAGACTCCGAGCTCCCAATAGAGGGGGCCCGGGTTCAGCCTCTGGTCAGGGAACTACATCGCACATGCCACAACTAAGACCCACCACAGCCAAATAAATAAATAACTTAAAAAAACTTAAAAATGTAATGTCAAGATGTAATGTTCGGGGGAGAATGGATACACACTCAGGTATGGCTGAGGCGCTTTGCTGTGCTCTGAAACGCACAGCAGTGCTGATGGGCTGCACTCCAGTGTAAAATAAAACCTTAGAAAGACGTAGTGCTAGGAGAGACCTTAGAAACTGCCCATCAGCCTCCTCATTGTGCAGATACAGAGAGAGAGGCCGTGAGAGGTAAAACAAGTCGCCCACTATTATACAGCTGTTTCATGGTAGAAACCTGATTAAACCTCAGTCCCAGATTCGCAGTCAGCCCATGGGAAAGAGCAAGAGACGCTGTGAGGGGAAAACAATACTGTTTTGATGTGAGAGGGAAAAGGAGGAGTCTAAGTTGATCCTGGGGTTTGAGCCTGGAACCTGGGAGGCAACCCATTGTGCTAGATTACAGCGGTGGAGTCGCCCGACTTGGCAGTCCTGCAGCTTCTCTCTGGTACTGGGTGAGGTGACCTGAGAATGTCTTTGATTTGAGCTTGATTTTCCTCAGCTGTAAAAGGGAAATGATACGTCTGCCTCACTGATTATTACTGCATTTGTAAAACCACTCATTAAATTATTATTTATTATGGAATAATCATGATACAATATGAAATGAGAAAGTTGAGTGAGAAACTGATTTGGTGGAGAAATATAATGAATTTGGTTTTGACATGCATTGTTTATTTATGTGATTCATAGTCTACCAGTTTCCTGAAAGGACCTGAGATGGTGACTTTTTTTTTTTGGCTGAGCCATGCGACTTGTAGTGTCTTAGTTCCCAGACCAGGGATCAAACCCATGCCCTGGGCAATGAGAGCACAGAGTCCTGACCGATAGACTGCCATTAATTCCCTAGATGGTGACTTTTAGACAAAAGGAATATAAATACTAATGGGACAGCCAGTTGATGATCACCTAATATGTAGCCTGAAAGTGTGGAAGGTGAATTTTTGTGAAATATCAGGACTGGAGATCTGAGGTTGAGAATTACTGACAAAGAAGGTCAGCTCTCTCTCCATGCCAGTTAGCTCTCTAAGGAAAGGAATGTTGAAGAGAAGGGGTCCAAAGACCAATCCCAGGAAGAGGAAGAAGAGTCAAGAGTAAAACAAATGTTTGGTCATAAAGGCAGGAGCGGAATCAGGAAGAGCATCAAATTGTGGGAGACAGAAGGAATGAGGATGAGGGCAGCACAAGTGCAGGATAAAAACTGAAGAGTAGATTAAACTCAGCTGGTTCTCACTGGTGGTCTTTGCAAGAGCAGTTCCAGGGGAATTACAGATGTGCAGACCGCAGTATGTGTGGGAAGACAGTGAAGGTAAGGATATAAGCCATTTGCTATTTTTCAGGCATGAAGAGGGCAAGAAAGCTGAGAAAGAGGATTCCTACATTTATTCTCTGACTTTTAATCTATGATTCCCTAAGTGTCACTTTTATAACCAGAGCCAGTGTCCCTATAAACACAAAACTTAGGGGATTTTTTTTTTCCTCTTTCTTTTTTCTTTCATTTTGTAGAAGATGTGACACTCAACTCTCTGGTGTCCGAAGCATTTGTCAGGTTTTTTGTGGAGCTGGTGGGACATTATTCTTTGAGCATGACTGTCACTGAGCGTGGGGAGCGTGTATTCCAAAGGGAGCCATTTCGTAAATCTCACACCTCCCGAAGTGTACGCCACTTCCTGGATCTCTTCATGGAAACTCAGATGTTTGCAGGATTCATCCAGGACCGAGAGCTTCGGAAAAGTGGGGTGAAAGGTCAGTTTCATCATAAAGGTCTCCCTCTGTATTTAGTGAGCATTTGAAAGATTTGAAAATAATATAAACAAAAAATAATATAAGGCTACAAGGACTCACGATCAGTTGTTTATTATGGGAAAAAATTTATTTTGTGATATTGTTTTAGCTCTGGAAGTACACTGGTAATGAGTACAGAGTTTTATTCAGTTGATTTTCAGTCTTGAGTGTATGACAGTTTGAACAGCATGAGTTTTCTTTGTAGGTTTGTTTGAGGTCAGGGCCCTCCAGTATTTGGAAACAATTCCTGAGTCTGAGCCCAGTGGAGTGAATAGAATTTTGCGAAGTCTTGGTAAGTTGCTGTGTTTTCCTATCATTATTAGATAACCATAGTTAAAAAAATAACAAGATAACAAACTTTTGTGTAAGCATGCCTCATCACAAAAGCTTTACCATCACATCAACAACATAACCTCACATACAGTGACCAGAAATCATGACCCCTATTTCCACAGTGTTTGGAGAATGACAAGACTCTCAGAGGTTAGGATTCTCCATCAGAGTTTTCCATGGGACTGTTTTCATCAGATGACGCTTCTTCATGATATAAGAATTTTGCATATCATAGTTATTCATCTTTTCTAGGCCATATCCCATGGAGAATCTTATTAAAAACTGCACCTTTTTCCAGCAGAATACCCTTGGAGCATATAAACACATTTTGCATATACTTTTAGGGTGTTCATGGACCCCCTTGAAGCCCATCCATGCACTCCAGGTTAAAAATACCTGGTTCAGTGCTCACTTCGGCAGCACATATACTAAAAATTGGTACGATACAGAAAAGATTAGCATGGCCCCTGCGCAAGGATGACACGCAAATTCGTGAAGTGTTCCATATTTTTCAGAGTGAAGTAAGCCAGAAAGATAAAGAACATTACAGCATACTAACACATATATATGGAAATTTAGAAAGATGGTAATGATAACCCTATATGCAAAACAGAAAAAGAGACACAGATGTACAGAACAGACTTTTGGACTCTGTGGGAGAAGGCGAGGGTGGGATGTTTCGAGAGAATAGCATCGAAACATGTATATTACCTATGGTGAAACAGATCACCAGCCCAGGTTGGCTGCATGAGACAAGTGCTCGGGCCTGGTGCACTGGGAAGACCCAGAGGAATTGGGTAGAGAGGGAGGTGGGAGGGGGGGATTGGGATGGGGAATACATGTAACTCCATGGCTAATTCATGTCAATGTATGACAAAACCCACTACAATACTGTAAAGTAATTAGCCTCCAACTAATAAAAATAAGTGAAAAAAAAAAATACCTGGTTCAAAAAAAAAAAAAACCAAATACCTGGTTCAGTGGGCGTCTGAAACAAAAGATTATTTCCTGCAAGTCTTTTAATTTACACTTCAAATTATGCCTAGGGCTGTTACTTCATCTTTATACCACAGTGTTAGATTAGATCAGTGGTTTTCAACTGTGACTACAATATTATACTCTCTGGAGAACATAAATGAAACTTCAGGGAATTCCCTGGAGGTCCTGTGGTTAGGACTTGGAGCTTCCACTGCAATTGGCATGATTCACTCCCTTCTTAGGAAACTAAGATCCCACACTGCAGGCTGCAAGGTGCAGCAAAAACAACAGTTAATAAAATCCATTCCCACCCCTCACCAGGCTCCAGGAAATCTCTGGAGAGCAGGAAAAGCAATTTTAACCTGCAGTCAGATTTGAAAAGGGCGGTTTAGATGATGTCTGAGTTTCCTTCTATGTCTACAATTAAACATTTGGGGGTTCTGTGTGTGTATGTTTGGTTTGGGTTTTTTGGTGGTTAAACACATCAACTGATAACTTGAGATGGCAGCTTACTCCTGGGCTGTTCTGAATGACTAGGTTTAATCCCTTGCATCAAATAATGTATCCTAAATAAAAATGAACTAATGAGAGTTCACTCTTTTTCCTTTAGGAAGTAAAATGAAATTTCTGCAGAAGAAATGAAATCTTGACTGCCTCCATCCTGAATAGAACAGAATGTGCCAAAGAAACTATTTTTCCAAGAATCAGGATGCCCTGAAGTATTCTACAGAATGTTGAAAGGTTACAGAGTGGGCCAGGTTCTTGGAGGAGGATTCTCCTGTTGCTGCTGTAGAATCACTGGAGAATTGTTGGGAGTAGTCTGGAACCTATACTTCCTTTATTCTGTCTGCCTCCAGATTTTTTCAAGTGGCCTTTTGAGTCTTGGCTCATTCTTTGTGTTTTGAGTTTAGCGGATGAAGGCACTTATCTTTTATACAAGAGAAGAACATGGTGTTGCATTTTTAAAAACAGCTCAAAAATGAGCACAGCGAAAAAGTGCTGCATTTAAGGTACTAGGGAGGCATGATATAAGTAGACGACACAAGCCCTTCACACATAATTCTCATCACTGAAATTCCATGGCAGCTTTAAACGTATGGGCTGTTTAAGGAATATACTCATCTCTTTTTTTAGGGGCGGGGAGGGGTGGGGGGAAGTGTTTAAAGCTAGGGGAATCTCACATGGAAGTCCTATTTATTAACACTGTTGTTGAGTATCTTATAAAAATAGACACCCTACAACATTCCTTGCACATTGTATGGCACTTGGGTAGCTTGTCCCTCGTGTATCAACACTGGGAAATTATAGCTAATAGGGGGACTTCCCTGGTGGTGCAGTGCATAAGACTCCACACTTCCACTGCAGGGGACACAGTTTCATCTCTGGTCAGAGAGCTAAGATCCCACAGGCTGTGTGACATGGCCAAAGAGAAAAAATATATAGCTAATAGGAAAATTTTGTCTCAAGGGCATGAAAACTACCTTCTTTTTCAGGGTCCATCTTGGGCCATGAATGGTATGTGTGTGTATGTCATCTTTAATTTAGTCTTTAAATCAACTGTTTGCATCTCTCATTTCATTGATGAAGAAAGTGGAATTCAGAGAGTTTAAACTGAAGCCAGGACTATTCATTTTTTAACACAAAGCTGGTTATTCCTACAGATGGAAAATTGGGGTCTGTGGGATTATAGCTATTGGAAAAGGTTTTTTTGTTTTGTTTTGTTTTAAGCTGAAGTGTGCCAGAGCCAACTTGCAGCTCTGAGGATACAGGACTTCATGCTACAGGTGTCCAGCTGAGACTCTCCTCATGGTTCTTTTAGAAATGTTGGGTTTTTTCTCTAAATTGGACTCAGAATATGGACATTTCCTGGGCACACACCACATAATCACCCCAACTTTTAATATCTAAAGTAGTAGCAGTGATTTGAAAGAGAAATTTGTCAGCCATGGTGTAATTTTAATTGATAAATGTTATAGCAAGTGTCAGTTTGTTTTCTTCAACTCCTGCTGATGGCTTTAACTACATAAAAAATATTCAAACTTAAAACATTGTTGTGTTTTGATACAACTTACTGACTTGTACAATATTGTCATTACAACCCATTCAGGTGTGTGTGGATGGATCTGAAGCAGACAACATGTAAGATGGGTGCTGTATAATCCAATTCCTACAGATGTGGGTCCAGAAAATAGAACTGAGCCCTTGTCTTTAAAAAAAAAAAAAAAAAAGTTTATTAAGCAGCTTACCCCAGTGGGACTTTTACCAGACATTTCCCCATTTGGTCTCTTCTGACACTCCCACCCGGAGGGAACAATCCAACTGGGAATTGAGTGTTTATCCCTCTGTGAGGAGCCCTTTACTTCAGGAATGGGAGTCTTGTTTTTATCCCTCCCATCTGAAGCTGCTTCCTTAAGTCTGTTTTGTTTTGTTTTTGTACAGAATTACGAATTCTGGACATGTTTGTAAGATAATCGCTCAAGATTTGTATAAAATGTTGTTCACAGATCTTTTAATGAATAAACAAAAAAATACCATGGATCTCTTGGAGAATTTGAAATAAAATTGCTTAAATTGTAAAGATCTTTTACTTCATTTAAATCTATAGCTAACACACTTATCTAAAGGTAGGTAAAGGATAAACGGCCCTAGAGTAACCAAGCCTAATAACCGTGGCCAACATTTTCAAGCTCTTGGCGAAATCGGGGTCTAGATTTGCACACAGGGCACAGTATATAGTGCTACTATCAAAGGGAACTGGAAGCCAGGGACCAGAGACTGGGCATCAGCAATAGCAGGAGTGGCTGGAAGCAATGAGAAGAGCTCTTCTTTACCGAAAAGTGTAAAGGCAAAATGACTGGATTTAAGACACGCCCTGAAGGCAATTTTTAAAAGATGGGATTAACGTGCAGCCACCCATCTCTCCCTGGGGCGGGGAGATCAGGTTCGTTTCCTTCTGCAGACCTAAAGCTTCGCAATTTAACTGGAGACTAGAGCCCACCCCCTGCATTTAGTCACTACAAAGCTTCTCAGGGCGCCGAGAACAAAGAATAGTGGGAATACAGCAAGGAACTGCAAAGGGAAAAAAGTTTAAGGGAAGAAGGGGGAAGGTTAGGGGAGTAATGCCGAGGTGGAACCCAGTATCTTTCTCCCTGCCAAATCCTGCAGCCAGTTTCCTCCAAAGATTTTAAAGGATTCCACTTGCAGATACTCGAATACTGGTCGAAACCGAAAGCCCCAAATCTCCCGCACTTCGATGCCAGTCGACGGCAAAAAGATGGAGCAAGCGGGGACAGGAAACAGACGCACCGGGGACTCTGGGAAACCGCGAAGTGATGTCATATCCGACCAAAACAAAAATGGCCGGGCACTTTCTAGCGGGCGCGCCCTCAGAATTAACAAGTGGGCGTGCGCCAAAGCAGATACACGGGTGACGTCATTACGTTAGTGTCGGGCGCGGGCGACGTGATTACGTTAGCGTCGGGCACTGGAGCATTGAAGTGAGCCTGAACCCGCAGACTTAGAAAACTCCAGTGAACCTAAGCATGGCGGGCACTGGTTTGGTAGCCGGGGAGGTTGTGGTGGATGCGCTGCCGTATTTTGATCAGGGTTATGAAGCGCCTGGTGTTCGCGAAGCGGTAAGTTCGGGGTTTTGTGTAACGGGCTCAGCGCTGGCTGGCCCATAGTGCCGGAAGAAGCGCCCAACAATTCGCTGCTCGTACCCTGCCCTCTTCTCGTCCTTAGGCTGCGGCGTTGGTGGAGGAGGAAACTCGAAGGTACCGACCTACGAAGAACTATCTAAGCTACCTGACGGCCCCGGATTATTCTGCTTTTGAGGTAAGTGTGATGTTTTGAGCCCAGCGCACAGTGAATCCTTTTGGATCGAGAGCCTTTGCCTTAAAAGCCTTCACTTAAAAGTGAATTGTAAATTCCAGCTTAAGTGTTACTTGCTTCACTGCTACTTACCCTGTTGTCAGTACTGTCAGTCAGTTGAAAATAGCTGCATAGATAAGCCTCCTCCAGAGTTCTGAGACCCACAAGACTTCCTAGGGCTCCGCAGACTGACCTAACAGTGCAAAAATTAGTGTTACGTCTTTCCAAGATAGGTTTTTTGCGTAAATTCTCAAAGGGATCCTCTTCCTCTAAGTATAAAACAAGTGATCTAGGCTATTTTTTAAAATACACAAAAGCCTAATTACCTAAGCTTCTGAGAGCCACAGGATTGCGGCCTTTGTTTCAAAGCCTAAATATTTACTGAATGTATGTCGTTGATTGTAGAGACAAATAATATCTAAGTGAACCATGCTAAACCGTTTAGATATTTTGCCTAGAAGTGCACCCAAAATACTGTGGGTGATAGTTTAGTCGCTAAGTCGTGTCCGGCACTTTGCAACCCCATGGGCTGTATGTAGCCGGATTCTCCAGGCAAGAATACTGGAGTGGGGTTGCCATTTCTTTCTCCAGGGGATCTTCCCAACCCAGGAATCGAACGCGAGTCTTCTGCATTGCATGCAGATTATTTACCAATTGAGCTACAAAGGAAGCCCATCCAAAATACTGTTCAGGGTCTAATTGTTTAGTCGCTTAGGCGTGTCTGACTCTGAGACCCCAAGGAGTGTAGCGCCAAGGCCTCCCTGTCGTTCACTGTCTCCCGGAGCTGATTCAAACTCATGTCCATTGAGTTGGTGAGGAGAAGTGGGTGGTAGAGGATAAGATGGTTGGATAGCATCACCGGCTCAAAAAAATAGTGGTTAAGTTTTAAGTAGGAGAGAGATGTTCCTACTGACACGCTTGCCTTCCATGATTTTTTCTAAATGTTGTTACCCAAATATAGATGTTACCACATTAAGTACTAAGGACAGTAATGAGTCCTTATTAGCTTGATTTCTGAAAGTTTCAGACAATTGCATTCAGACACAAACTTAAATACTTGAGCCAGTTTTGTGTTTAGCTCTCTTAGATACAACCTGTGCTTCCTATCTTTATAGTTAGTATGCTGATTATTTCTGTGTTTCCTGTTTTTATAATTAGTATACTGATTATTTAGCACTTTTTATAGTGGGTGCTAATAGTATGCTGTGCTCACTATTTAAGTCCTAAAAAAACTGTGTAGACTATATATGTTTAATATTCCCATTTTTTAGATGGGAAAACTGGAGCTTAGGCTAAGTAATTTGCCCAAGACCTTAAGCACTCCTCAAACTGCCTTTGAAACCGCTCTTTCATTAGTTCATTTAACAGCTGTCTCTGAAGATTGGTTCTTCACAAATTATTAGAGAACAGGAGTTTACATTCTAGAGTGTGGAGACAGATAAATCAGAAAATACCAGATTGTTGATAAAGCTATACAGAGAATTAAAGTAATAATATGATGTAGAGTGACTCAGTGACTGCTTCAGAAAGTCTGATTGAGGAGGAGCTGTCTAAACTGAGATGAGGATGCTCCGTGAACAGGGATCTTTTTCATCTTCTTCACCACTGTGTTTTCACCTAAAACAAAAAATAGGCACCCAAATATTTATCGCTGAATGTATGAAGAGCTTCTAAGCCAGTTTAATGAATGCTTAATGTATGCCATTCATGCCTATAATTCCTTTTATAACTTAGCTCTGTGAGTGCTGGCTCAGTCTTTGAAGAGAGTTAAATTAAAATTTCAGATCTGTCATTTGTCATGTGGGTTAGGTAAGGGCTCTGATGTTACATGGCTGAAGATAGCTTGTACTGTATATTTGTAGTTTGTTTCTTACCTAATTGTTAATTTTTACTCTGTCACTGTGCATAGGGTTCTATCTAGAATGCCTTAGTTTCTACAGGAAACTAAATAACCATATTTTCTTAGAGTTGTGTGAAGCTCAGCAGTAGTCCAGAAAAGGCTTTTTCCAAGAAGACATACTTAATGCAAAACTTTTAAACAGTGAATGTGGACTTCTAGAACACCTTTTTAGCTTACTCTTTAGTCTAAATGAAATAGGATGTTGACTAAAACATTGGACCTAAAGAGGTAGAACTATATCACATTTTTTTGAAAATAGTAAAACTGTTAGAGGCTTCTCAGGTGGCTCAGTGGTAAGGAATCCACCTGCCAATGCATGGGTTCCATCCTTGGGTCAGGAAGATACCCTGGAGGAAATGGCACTCCAGTATTCTTGCCTGGAAAATTACATGGACAGAAGAGACTGGAGGGCTATAGTCCATGAGGTCACAAAAGAGTCGGACATGACTTGGTGATTAAACAACAAAAACAGCTTTTCTTTGGGGGCCCCTTTGCATATGAAATGGGTGTGTGCCTGTGCACTTACTTTTCCACATTCTAGAGAGCACTGACTCCAGAGAAGAGTTGGGGATGGGGGGATGATCCATTATAATAGGTAGTAGTAAAGTATAAGTATTTAAGTAGGTTAGATCCATTATTTGTTTGGTGGTTTTTAATTTGTTTGTTGATATGATTTTGGAAATAGTTCTTTCTTCAATTTATATATCAGACAGACATAATGAGAAATGAATTTGAAAGACTGGCTGCTCGACAACCAATTGAATTGCTCAGTATGAAAAGGTAAGTCCTATTCTTGGTTCGGCTGGGCTCAGATCATTCTTTAATTTTAATTTATTAGTAAAACTTCTGTCAGTTCAGTTCATTTGCTCAGTCGTGTCTGACTCTTTGCAAGCCCAAGGACTGCAGCATACCAGGCCTCCCTGTCCATCACCAGCTCCTGGAGTTTACTCAAACTCAAATGTCCATTGAGTTGGTGATGCCATCCAACCATCTCATCCTCTGTCGTCCCCTTCTCCTCCTGCCTTTAATCTTTCCCAGCATTAGGGTCTTTTCCAATGAGTCAGTTCTTCACATTAGGTCACCAAAGTATTGGCATTTCAGCTTCAACATCAGTCCTTCCAGTGAATCTTCAAGACTGATTTCCTTTAGGATGGATTGGTTGGATCTCTTGCAGTCCAAGGGACTCTCAAGAGTCTTCTCCAACACCACAGTCAAAAGCATCAGTTCTTCGGTGCTCAACTTTCTTTATGGTCCAACTCTCATATCCATACATGACTACTGGGAAAACCATAGCTTTGACTCGACAGACCTTTGTTGGCAAAGTAATGTCTCTGCTTTTTAATAAGCTGTCTAGGTTGGTTGTAACTTTTCTTCCAAGTAGCAAGCATCTTTTAATTTCATGGCTCTAGTCACCATCTGCAGTGATTTTGAGCCCCCCAAAATAAAATCTGTCACTATTTCCACTGTTTCCCCATCTATTTGCCATGAAGTGATGGGATCAGATTCCATGATCTTAGTTTTCTGAATGTTGAGTTTTAATCCAAATTTTTCATTCTCCTCTTTCACTTTCATCAGGAATCTCTTTAGTTCTTCACTTTCTGCCATCAGTATGGTGTTATCTGCATATCTGAGGTTACTGATAACTTCTGTAGCAAGTTCAAATAAATGTGGAAAAGGAAAAAAACTTGTCTGCTTTTATATTAATACATGTTTTTTCATATAATAGTTACACTCATGGTTTATATAATCTTTTGTTAATGTTCAAAAATGTTCTTTCCACCATCATTAAAATGTAAACTCTTTAAACTCCAGTAACAAGAGAATGGAAAAGTAAATTCATGTTTAAGAATTCCCAAGGACATGTTCCTGATTAGACATGTAGTGCTTCACTCTTACACAGACAATGTTAGTAAACTCAAAGTGCCTGTGTAGTTTGACTTTGGTTCTGTTTTCTCCCTTCCCATACCACTTTACTACAAAACTGTTTCTCCTTCCTCAGGGAAAAAACCTGAAACATTCTTTTGTTACTTTCTTTAAAATGGAGAATTGGGTTGCTTACCATCTGAGGTCCCCTTCAGCTCTAAGATAACTATGAAATGAGAGCCAGTATATAATCTGGCAGAGCGGAGAGGGCCACATGAACAGTGGGGTTATCCTCTCAGCATACATACAGATAATAAGAGGGATTTGAGCCTATAGAACCAAAGGACCAGATTTCGTCTTTTCTTGTGCTCCATTTCCTATCTGGCCTGACATGATAAAAGCAGAAAAACTTCTAGGACTCTTTAGTTCTCACATTTCTAGGT